TTTAAACTCACGATTTCTTACGATTTGTACAAGTCTCTGAGATATAATAGATTTCAGAACGGGTTTTTACGGTGTTTACTTGATCATCTTTTTTTACCAGTATCATCTCCAATTTTCACGCGAGAATTGTTAAAACGGGCTAAATTATGACCTTGAAACAGAATGAGAATAAGCCCACTGTTTTGACGTCTCCCCACCAAAAATATAAATATATAAAAATGGGAGAAATGAAGAGTGGGAGAGAGTTTTAAAAAATATAGAGTTAAAGAGAAAGAAAGGGAGCGCCAAAGAAGGAAGAGGTAAGAAAGAAAAGACAGCGAGCAAAGATGGAGAGAGAGAGAGTAACCATGGAATGCCCCGATGGTAGAAAAGATGTGACAACTGACGAAGGAATGGGAGAAAAGGATCTGGGGGTATTATTTGACTCAGATCTGTCTTTCTGCGCCCATGCAGCTGATGTCTCCAAAAGAGCCAATATCAAGTTGGGAATCATTAAACGTTCTTTTTCATCCCTTCGGTCGAGTGGCATGCTACAACTATATAAGACCATAATGCGCCCAACACTAGAATATTGCAATGCAGTCTGGAGACCAACGTACCTAAAGGATCAAGATCTATTGGAAAAGGTTAAGCAACAAGCTACGCGACTCATCCCAGATGTAAAGCATCTATGCTACGAAGACAGACTCAAAACTCTCAAACTACCATCACTAGAGTACCGGAGACAGAGGGCTGATCTTCTTCAAATATACAAGATCATGCATGGATTTGAGGCAGTAGAGAGGAATGACATGTTTGATATCATCAAGGAATCCAAAACAAGGGGACACAGGCTCAAAATAAGGAAGCCCCACTGCAAGTCTAAGATGAGGCAGATGTCATTTTCAGTGCGGAGCATAAATAATTGGAATAACCTTCCTGAAATTGCCATAAATGCCTCATCGATCAATAAGTTCAAGTCAGAACTCGAAAATCATTGGAAGCACCATCCGCTGAAATACTACCCATACCAACGCGAATCCAATGCAGTAAAGAGGGGCACATATAAGCTGAAGCTTCAAGCCTCGACACAAAAGTAAACCAAAGTAAAGTAACATAAATTAGGTAGAAAGAGGAGGGGGAAAGATGGATAGTGACAGGAACAGAGATGGAGAAAGAAAGAACAAGAGAATATATAGAGAAGGGGGTAAAGGTAACATACCCTCAGAAGTTGCATTCTCTTTGCCAGAGCATGATCATCAACTAATTTCTCCGTTTTGTTGTCGTCATCACAACTCTCTGTCCGTCCGGCCCCAAAATCTAAGGCCGCAACGGCATCTCCTTGGGGAAAATAAATTAAATCCTCTTACATTATCAAATTATAAAATAAGTGTAATGTTTGAAGTTATCGGTTTAGAAACCTTTATAACCCATGTATAACATGTTTGTTTTTTAATTTTAAAAAAAGCCCATGGGGATTTACGTACCCTATTTGTGGACGTATTTTGTCCTACTAATATCAAGTAAATAAACTGGTCAATCAGTTGTCAAAGGTCGAGTTGTCTTAAAAGTCAAATAATTATTTTGCAAAAAGGAGGTCGGGACGGGGACTTCGACTATACAAATTGCAAGTTTGTGCAATATGAATTTTACTATGGAAAATTCTGTTTGTTAGAAAAAAGTGATAATAAAAGGTTGAGGAAAATATTTTGAATTGCCTTTTAGTTTTGTTTGGCTGATTTCTACTTTTTGAAGAAAGAACCAATACCTTGTCAGTGGATATAAAAATTATATACGAATATTACTTCTTTGGAAGTGCCCTCTTTCCTTTTCCTCTTCATCGTAGAATTGATGGCTCTTCAGTGATGCAACCACTCTCCTGGCATCCCTTTGGATGATGGACCGGTGAAACCTGTCACGGGCCAGTCTAAGCTGTGTCATCTGAAGTTCTGCAATATCCTGCATGTGGAATAACATATTTGAAAGGTAATAATAACTTATTAGAATTATCTTTGAAAAAAGCCATACGAGCACTCGATCAATTAAAATGCTCTTTTTTTTAAATCACGATTTCCTACGATTACTTACGATTTGTACAAGTCTGTATGAGAGATTTCTGGACGTCTTTTCAAGGTGTTTACTTAATTATCTTTTTTACCAGTACTATCATCTCCATTTTTCACCCGAGAATTGTTAAAACGGGCTAAATAATGACCTTGAAACTAAAAGAATATAAGCCCACTGTTTTGACATCCCTCCACCAAAAATATACATTTATAAAAATTGGAGAAATGAAGAGTGGGAGAGAGTATACAAAAATAGAGTTAAAGAGAAAGAAAGGGAGCGCCAAAGAAGGAAGAGGTAAGAAAGAAAAGACAGAGAGCAAAGACGGAGAGAGAGAGAGAGAGAGTGTAACATAAAGCTAGGTAGAAAGAGGAGGGGGAAGATGGATAGTGACAGGAATAGAGATGGAAAAATAAAAGAACAAGAGATTATATAGAGAAGGGGATAAAGGTAACATACCCTCAGAAGTTGCATTCTCTTTGCCAGAGCATGATCATCAACTGATTTCGCCGTTGTGTTGTCGTCATCACAACTCTCTGTCCGTCCGGCCCCAAAATCTAAGTCCGCAACGGCATCTCCTTGAGAAAAATAATTTAAATCCTCTTACGTTATCAAATTATAAATAAGTTTGAAGTTATCGGTTTAGAAACCTTTACCCATGTATAACATGTTTTCGTTTTTTTTTTTAAATTAAAAGAGAAGCCCATTAGGATTCGCGTACTCTATTTTGTTGACATTATTTTTCCTACTAATAGTAACCAAATGAATAAATAATTGGTCAATCAGTTTTCAAAGGTAGATTTCTTTCTCCGCCCCCCCCCCGTCTCTCTCTCTCTCTCCCCCTTACTCTTTGATTCTATCTCTCTCTCTCTCTCTCTCTCTCTCTCTTTCTCTCTCTCTCTCTCCAACCCAATCCTCCCCATTTGTCCTGAACTATAATTCAATAAGCGTTTATATATAATAATATATATCATGAACTTCGAATTGTCAAGTTGCATTTCCATACCGTCCCCAATCCTTTCGAAAGATTTACTCTCTTCGACGATGTCCAGCTTGAATCCAGTACTTTGGGATTCATCAATGTCGTCGAAGACGTACCCGTCCTCGTTTTCATCCTGACGATGAATTGGTTTGCTGCGTATGCACCCCATTTGTATTCAAAGCAAACAAAGCAAATTCGAATACTAAGTAAAGAACTCAATATGCCGATGATATTCGCAAGTGATTGAATAGAATACTGGTCATAAGGTAAACAAAGTAGTCACCATACACACAACGCGAAACCTAGCGCATTCTGTATCTGACGTCATAATGCATGCGCATCCATGCTTATGACATTTTAGATGATAATAATGTTATTGTAAAAGAATAGCGGTAGGTTAAGCTTTTAGCCAATTTCACGATGATTTTTACTTTTAATAATTTACCATTTTATCATCATTTTTGCCAACTATGATACATTTTCATAATGGAGGGAAAAGTAAATTATCACTAATATCACACACTGAGAGATCTTACTAGAATTGTTTTGAATTAGTTTGGGCATCCTTTCAGAAAATGTTACAGGGGGATATTTAAATAAGTCGATGTGGGAGGGGCTTCGTCACCCTGAGCAATGTTTGGTATTTTGAAGTAGATAAGGCATGTTATGATGCACAACTGTCCGTATAGCTTTCAAAGCAATTCATATTCAAGACACTACATAAGGCCTAACAAAAAAAAGATGTTGTTTTTATTACTCCCTCTTTGGGCTGATATTTCTCAGTTTTAAATGCTATAATACATTTTTTCCTAAAAAACGGTAAACAAAAAACTAAATTAAGAAGCCCACCGTAAATTTCAAGATTGTTGGGACGATCGCAAAGGGCAATACAACATCTTTTTTTAGGCCTAATTATGCACCTGTTGTGAAAATGGGATACAGGGTTCCCTTCCCACCAGTGAACAAGAAGACTTATAAATAAATTGAAAACATTCAATGCTTTGTCTTTCCCCCTATTTCCTGTTTCGAGGTAGGCCTATCTATGTCATGAAATATTTTATATAGATCAGTGGTACCCAGATTTGATATGTTAAGGCCTATTTGGAAACCAGGGACATGCTGCTCTGTATAGTGTGTGCATGTTTTCCCTTAACCATTAGAAAAGGAATGTTCCAACTTCATCACAGTATTTGCTAGGCAAACGTTTCAAAATAAATTATACCACTCATCAGTGCTGGTTTTAATTGAGGGCAAGATTTCTATAGAAATATGGAAATAAAATGTTTCATCCCGTTTGTTTAGCGATTATTTTACTCTTACAATTTTCTTTTGAAGAGAAAAACCTAGTTGAAAGAGGTGGGCCCAGAAGAGGAACAGTGAACAAACTTTGACACTTTTTATTTATTTTTTCATTTATTTCGATTTATTTCAAAAGGGTAGCCTTTCAGTAGTTAAGATACTGTTATACTTGGGGGCCCTGCATAACAAACAAAAAATACATATAAAGACATAAATATACATTAAAAAATCATTACATGGTAAATAGTAAACATGATATATCAGAAAGAATAGAAATAGAATTTCAAATGTAAATGTAAACTCAGCAAATACAAGAAAATCAACTATCAACAAATTTTGGAAACAGATCCTTATAGCGTAGTAACTAAAGTGTCTAAACATAAGTATACATAATTTGTAGGATAATTTTGAGAAATATACTATTTGTAATTGGTAAGTACTGTATATTCAAGTTTGTGACAGACCCCCTATTTGCGTGTACTATGTTTTGGATTTTATTTTTTCGAATAACTTGTGCAAAAGGACTTTATAGGAAAAAATGGAAAATTGAAGAATTCATGTAATGTATACATTCGGATGTCATCTGCTGCTTCTCTGTGTATGATCCATAGAGATATATAACTACTTATTAAGTATATATCTCTATGGTATGATCGAATCTCTTTGAGCTCACAGAACTAGAGCGCCCTCTAACGCTGCAGTTGGTGGTAAGCATTCGTGAATATGGCAGATGCTGGAGATTTCGGTAGAAGTGACGCAGAAAGTGATGGCGAAATTCGAGGTAGGAATCTAGGATATTTAGATTTATTCAGTAAATGCTAATTTAGAGTAATGGGAGTATAACATATGCTTGATAAATCTGAAGACGCTACGATTCGGCAGTATGCAGTAATTTGGGGCTATATTTCGCCTCGATGCATTGTAAAAACAGAATGTACAGTCCCATATGTATGATTTTGTGTAGGGTTATAGTCTAGTGAAGAACAAGAAGAAGAGGAAGTAGGGCCGCTGGTCTCAGAATAAGGATCATAAGCATAAACAAGGATCATCTTCGTAAACGCGGACAGACGCGTCCTAAAAAATAAAGATCGTCCACAAACCGTGGACGATTCTTATTTCCGATTCGCGCTTTGGCGCTGGCGTTTCGTAAAATCATAAAATGGATTCTGCAATGATGCATTTCACACTTTGCACAGAGACTTTCACATTATAAACAATAAAATCCGGAAGACAGACCACCCGTAAAAGTAGACGGTACACTGGGGTTATTTTATTATGCTAGGCACATTCATGGGGCACTAGAGGGCGCTTTGCACGCGTACGAAAATCTGAATGGCCTTGCTGCGGTGGGTCGGCAATAATCAGCCCAAAACTTGGATATGGGAGGGTGGAAGGATATATCATTTTTATAATGTTATCTGGCCTTACCCTTAACCATCCTATGTTTAATCTATGTAGAAATAACATGCGAGTACGATAAGAGAAACATCGGGCCCATTACTGATGCAACTTTTAAAATATTAGCCTAGAAATGACCACCAAACGGAAAAAATTGACATTTTTTCCCGACAAATCTTCATAAAATCTGATTTATAAACAAGTCACATCTAGGTACACTAATACAAATACGATTTTCTGAAAATTCAGGTATTATTTTTTAAGTTTCTTTCAAGTATATTTCTGCGCATTGCAGCGCCAATGTTCTTCACTGCTTCAAAATCACCCTTGAAATTTTTTTTTTGCATCTAATTTGTTACGAGGTCCGCGAGTGTTCCCCGTTCCTTGCGTGTTGAAAGTTTAGTAATACATAGTTTACATTGACTCGCGCACCAAAAAATGGTCGAAAACAAAATGTCAAATGAAGAAATAAACAGGCTTTTGTATAGTTATAAGAGTTCTACCAAGGTTTCTTCGTCGATTTAATTTATTATATAGTCTCAATTAGAATTCAGAATTATCTCACTGAAAAGTTAAGAAACCGACGATGTTCTCGATCATAGTTATTTTCATTTTGCCAGCAGCCGATCTAGCGTTGTTTGGGCAAAAAGCTAGGCCGCTGCCTTCCCATCGCAAACCTTTCTGAGTCCCACTAAAATGGCGCGCTGCGGAGCTCCGAAGCTGCGTTGGTATCGCTGCAAACTCTCTGCCGGCTAGCTCCCCACGAGGGACCATTCGCGGTATGGCGAGAGTGTGTGTGTGAGGTACAATTTTGGATTCGAGAACGCACGTAATGCAACCGTGCGCGTCATATTCAGCTGTCGAATGTCTACGACCAATTTTACATGTACGATTTTTAGTACAGATACTTGGTCAGTTTTCTTCTTATATCTTTGGTTTTACAACATTTAAAAATATAATTTCTTCAAATTTGCTCCTGACTCGGTTCAGACTAATTGTGTGATGTGTTTTCAAGTCAATTTTTTGAATATATTTTTTTGCATGAATTTGCCTAATTATGCGGAATGTGTTTTTTTCGCATTGCCAATTTGCCCGGGTTTACGAGGAAATCCTTGTTTATGCAGACGATCCTCATTCTCAGACCAGCAACCCTACTAAAGAAGGAGGAGAGGGAGTAAAGAGAGAAAAGAAAATTAAACAAAGCATACAGTGAAAATCAATTGGTCTAGATGTCTACACAGCAGCCAGGAGCTGTAACTGAGTAATTTGCGAAAGGGAAGCTTCGAAATAGCTGGAAAACTAGAGAAGATCTTTGCAAAAGAACAATAAGATAGATATTAAAAATGAATCACTGGAAGGAAATGTCACTTTTGCAATTATAGCAAATCTGACAAATACCTCCCTTGAACAAGAATATTTTGTATACAATCTCTTTCAGGATCTGATCATGATGAGGAAGAATTGCTGTCTGAAGATGAAGGAGAGGTAGCAGTGGGGTCTGGCAGCGAAGGAGAGGTCCAGTCTGAGGAGGAAGAGGGACACGAGGAGATGGAGGAAGGGCAACATGAAGAAGAAGAAGAAGAAGATGAAGGAGAAGCAGTGGAAGAAGAGGAGGAGGAGGAAGGTGCTAGAATAGAGGAAGAGATTCAGTCTCCAGATGAAGCTCAGCCAGAACACGAGGGAGAACAAGAAGAGTGTGAGTAGGATTAGTTGTAAATGCTTTTTTTTGTTTTACAGTATGAGAAGTATTTTATCCAGATTGTCTCAAACTTAAAATGGTTATACATCTAGACATCCAGTTGAGATGCTAGTAATCAGTATCTTCAGATATTTCAGTAATATACACAAGAGGTTCAGGGATTCTTCCAGCAGCTTTTGAAACATTACTCTTATCATTTGCCTTGTTAAGGGGCTAATTAATACTGATTTTAGTAGCATTCCCCATTACATATTTTTTGACTTTCTCTTTGTCAAAATACTTTTGTTAGGTTTTCTTCTATGATATTAAAACTTGATTTCGGTCATCATTTCTACTCTGGCATACACAGCAATATCAACATCTTTTCAAACATCATTTGAAGGTGGTATATCTTATACTGTAAAAGTAGAAATATTCAATTACAAGTTCAAGTACAATTAATTTTCCGGATTTCGTGCTTAGATTGAATTGCTTGCAACGCAAATTTAAGAACCAGCTAATATGTTTTGGGGTCGCTCAGCGGGAGAAATTAATCAGCGAAAATAACAGCGTTTACAGTAATCAAGCAAATAGCAAAACTCAGTGACAAGACTCTAGGCCTATATCAAGTATTCATTTTTCAACTTTTGTGATATTTCAATGTTGATGACAAAATATATAGTTTCAAAAGCACTAATCGCTGATATTTGATAATTGCTTTGTAGATGAGGAATATGAATCTGATCAAGAGGCTGTGTCAGAGCAGGAAGAAGCAGGGGAAGGCGAGGGTCACTACGAGGCTGAAGAACATGAGAGGGAAGGAGAAGAAGGTATGTTACTGGTGGATTCCTTCTTTCTTGTGTCATGTATGTTTCTTTGACCCTGATATTAAGCATGAGTGACTCGGTCTATGTTGGTCAACTCTGTTTTTTCCTCCTTGTCTTGTCAAAAAAATTTGTTCCTCCTTTTGGGGGGATTAAAAAAAAAAGTTATGGCTAGTGAAGTTTATTCTCCTGATTTTTCTTGGTGTTTTATGTCAATTTTGAACAGTACTCCATGATATTATACATATACGGGGTAAGCAATTAAGAATGAACCTTATACTGTTTTCCTCTAAATGCTACTAGATGTTGAGCCATAAGGTGATGTTCCTTTTTCTTTTAATCAATTGAGCTCCCTGTTTCTGAATCCCTTTTGTGTGACCTCTAGAAGAAGAGCACGAGCAGGAAGAAGAGGTCCATGAAGAAGAAGAGGGAGAAGGAGAATATGAAGAGATGGTGGAGGGTGAGGAAGGGGAAGAGATGGAAGAGGAGGAGGAAGCGGGAGAGGTAGAGCAAGAGGAAAGAGAAGAACAGGAAGAATCAGAACAGGAGGTTGAGGAGCAGCAAGAGGAGGAGGAAGAAGAGATGGAGGCAGAGGATAATGAAGGTAGGCAGTCACCGGACGAGGATGCCCGTTCCCATGGAGATGGGGAGGAGGAAGATGCTCGGTCACAGGAGGCATCAGATAAAGAAGAGAATAGCGAGGAGGAGGACAGACTGGTCATCAGTCAAGATGAAGAGGAAGAAGGTGATAGAGAAAGAGAGCAGGAGCAAGAAGTTGACGTAGAAGAGCAGGATGCAAGACCACAGGTTTCAGATGAAGGTGATTTCTTGTACTAGTTTTGCCTTATTCCATACTGTTCATGTCGTTTTAGCATAAATTGTAATGGTCTAAATGCTTTTTGCATCTTCTTTCTTCCATCCATTATAATCGTGTTAAATATGATTATTATCTGAAGGCAAATTTGGGGAAGTGGAGGCCCTGGTCTCTCGTAACGGATAACATTTAACAGAGCATGGCCATTAAGTGAGGGGATGTTGTATGGGGGGGGGGGGGGCAGCGCATACCATCTTTTTATGTTTCCTTCCCCCTCTCCCTTTCATGTTTAATTCCCCCCCCCCCTTTTTTTGTCTTTTTTCACAATTTGATTGAGAGGAAGTGCCCCGCATAGCTACCCCACTGTGAAAAATACATGACATTACTACAGTTTTTTTTTTTTCACACTCGGAGTAAATCGTAAAGGTGGACAGAAAGCCAAAATCTGACAAATTCTGTTCATTCTTGCAATTGTCTCCATTCGAGTGCAAGACGAAAAGCTTTAGTATGTCTGTAGTCATCGCCATCTTTGATTTTGTAGTACCAATCATCTTTTTATTGATAACGACGAAATCTGTTGAGCCCTCATGGAGATATTGGTACATGTATTTGTTCGACTTTTCAGGGAGTGACAGTGATGACAACATTGGAAGGAAACCAAAGAAGAGGGTGGTGGTTGGTAGTGATGACGAGGATGCTGGACAAACGAAGGATTCAGATGATGAAGATAAACCAGGGGGTATGCAATTCTTTCTTTTTTTCTGAAAATAAAATCCAACCTTGATTGATGGCATATTGCTTTGAAGGAAAAAGAAAAATTTAAAGAAACAGATTTGTGACAGTTAAGAAAAGAGGGTAATCAATTTGAGGTTATGCCTTCAGACGATTCAACTATAAAGTTGTTACAATGTTGGATTGCCCTATAGCATGTTTTTATGTTACAATATATTTTTTTAGTCTTGCAACAGTTTTTGTATGATATGTTGTAAAATAAAACTGTTTACAATTTCCATTAAAGATCATAAAAGGTATGTTGAAAGAAAATTGGACTTCTTTTTTGGAGACAACAATTTATTTTTGGTTCTTTATTTGTTGTTGAAGTCTTCCTGTGTGCTTCAATAAATTATGAATCTGTTCTAAAATGTTTGGAAAATAAATGTAAGAAAGTCTGTAGCGAAATGATGTTCTAGAAGATAAGTATGCATACTATTGGTTTTTATAGAAAGTTGGGCAATAGATTGAAAGTTCAATCAAAAGGTTCAGTCAAACAATGTGGTAATGTTGTGTTTTGTCATTTCATTTTAATCATTTAACTTGTAAGATCTTCTTTAGGTCAGCAACTTATAAGGGTCACTTCATTTTTGGGTACTTCCTACCAAACAACTTTGATATTTTTGTACCAATGTCTGTCTATACACATCTTCTGTTATTTTTATGTAAGAATGTATAGTTCCATGTATGTATGTTATTTTTTAATTGCTGTTGTTAACAAAAATTAGATTGAATTGAAATTGTAATCTGTTAGTTAGTTTTAGTACAAATGTGCCTCTTTTATTTACTGTAGAGATAACAAATAAGTTTGTCAAACTGACCAAAATACATGATAGTGAGATATGCAGTAATGACGAATAGTATTAATAAGATATAAGTACAGTCTGACCTGTTTCTGAACAATTTGATGATTGAATTTTCTTGATCAATGACAGCTGAAGCAACTCAAGAAGATTTATTTGGTGACTTATCTGATGATGACGATGACAACCTTGATGACATTGTAGACCAGCTTGGTGACGAGGTAAAGTTTTCCTTCTAACATCTTTACTACATTCTAGTATTTACTGCTTGATGACATATCTCAAGAGAATCTAGCAAACAGCTATGTACATGCAGACCTAACCTTTTCAAAGCTTTATAAATATTGAAAAGAGAACATATTATTTTAGGGGGAAACAACTTTTTCATGTAGACAAACAAAGAAATACTGGATAATGGTTAAAAGTTCCCTGTTATATTTTAGGGGTAAGGTTGGTTAGGATTGTGGTGTAGGACTGTTTTAATTAAGGAAGTAAAATAAATTTTAAACGTTTTCATGTTTTTGACTAACAATTTTGGTTTTACAAGAAACTCTCTTTTAACATAGCACTAAATATATTTGCAGTTTACAAAAGTTTGTTTGCCACTAAGCACTTATACTTAATAGTTGAGCAAACTGTAGAGCAGTTTGTAACTATTTGTAAAGAAAAGGTGTGATGCAAAATGCTTAGTGGATTGGCAAACTGCCATTGTCGTGAATTCATGAATGTTTCTGGTTTAAGTGTTTCATTTGGTTCGACCATTAGGACAGGAAAGGAAGGGATGACGATGATAAAGAAAACGAAGACAGAGTCATCCGTGGAGCAAATTGTAAAGCGCTTAGTAACTATGTAAAGATAAAGTGTGATGCAAAATGCTTAGTGGATCGGCAAACTGCCATTATCGTGAATTCACAAATGTTTCTGGTTTAACAGTGTTTCATTTGGTTCAACCATTAGGACGGTGAAGAGAACGAAGACAGAGTCATCCGTGGAGCAGACATCAACGCAGACGGTGATATCATCCAGAGGGATGACGATGAGGAGAAAGAACCGGAAGAGATTCCAGAGACCAAGATCGAGGTGGAGCTGCCCAAGCTGGGCGTGGACCTGGGAGAAGAGTACCACTTTGCAAAGCTACCCAACTTTCTCAGTGTTGAAACGAGGTAAAGAGACCCTGTGGTGCAGTGGTTTAGGCTTCGGATCATGTAGTTCAGGGTTCAAATCTGTTCAATGTACCTCTTTAAGGAGAACCACCAAAATATATATATATATATATACCTAACTTTCACAGTGTGGAAACAAGGTTGTGGTATGGTGGTTTTGGCTTTGGACATGAGGTCCAGGGTTCAGATCTATGATGGGTTGAAATTTGGAGAGAAGTACCAGTTTAAAAAGCTGCCCAACCTATGAAAACAAGGGAATAATGCTCTTTGGTGAAGTGGTTTGTCCAAAGAATTAGATGGTTCAAGGTTCAAATTCTTGACCAAACAAGGATGGCAATGATGTAATCAAAATACAAAATTTGTTGTTAGTCTGCTTTTTATTGTCGTTTAGTGATGTCTGATGATCTTGATAGGGGTTAAAGTAGAATATTGTAAAGGACATGACTGTTTGTTTGTTTAAAACAGAATCTACATTTGTTGACCTCTCTCTCCCTCTCTCTCTCTCTCTCTCACTCTCTCTCTGTCTCTTTACAGACCTTTTGACCCTCAGTTTTATGAAGATGAAGTCCATGCTGATGAAGATGAGGTGTTGGATGAAGAAGGAAGAACAAGGCTCAAACTAAAGGTATGTTGTCTTGTTATCTGCAGGTATATCTCGATAAAGCCTTGTAATCTCAGAAAACTTTTTTGAAGTTACATGGCCTGTCCCATTTTAATGTAACCATAAAATAAATGTATACATTTTTAGTATCTTGGTGTTTACCGGTAATCAACAAAATGTGATACTTCATGTTGAACTTTTTATGCCTCCGTTACGAAGTATCCGGAGGCATTATGTTTTCCGGTTGTCCGGTTGTCCGTCCGTCCGTACGTCCCGTTCTCGTGATCGCGTTATCTGAAGAACCGATTGATGGATTCCTGCCAAACTTTGGTCATGTATGTATCTTGCAGAGCCGATGAACTGATTAGATTTTGGGGTCATGAGGTCAAAGGTCAAAGGTCACGGGGCTCATTATGTATGCAAAAACAGCTCGTGATCGCGTTATCTCAAGAGCCGATTGATGGATTTCTGCCAAACTTAGGTCATGTATGTTACTTGCAGAGCCGATGAACTGATTAGATTTTGGGGTCATGAGGTCAAGGTCAAAGGTCATGCGGCTCATTATGGATGCAAAATAGCTCATGATCGCATTTTCATTAGAACAGATTGATGGATTCCTGCCAAACTTAGATAATATATGTATCTTGCAGAGTCAATGAACTGAGTAGATTCTTGGGTCATGAGGTCAAAGGTCAAATGTCATGGGCTCATTATGTATGCAAAAATAGCTTGTGAACGCATTCTCATTAGAACTGACAGATGGATTACTATTTAACTCGGGACATCTTGCTGAGCCAATGAACTGAGTAGATTTTAGGGTCATGAGGTCAAAGATCATAGGGTCATATATGTATATGAAAAATTGCTTGTAATCATGATATTCTGAGAACCTGTTAATGGATTACAATGATACTTGAATTTGAAAAATTTCTTCTGTTTTGGTTTGTAAACTTGCTCTATGACGGAGGCATCATTTTCGACTGCATGCAGTCGAAGTTCCATCTAGTTTTCTATGTTTTAATTACTCTCAAATCATCCCTGATTTTCAAATTGTTTTGTTTTTTTTATTCTAATATTTATACTAGGTTCCATTTATTTTTACCTATTATAGTCCAGTTTTCATTATATGCAAACAGAGCCCTGAGGAAGACCAGCTTGTAACTTATTTAACGTATTTGTTGTATCTTGTCACAATTTATGAAATGTAAATGTTTTAGACTATGTTAATTTGCTTTTTAAATTTAATTTGTATGTTTTTAATGTTTTGATTGCTGATCAGGCCACTCTGTCTAAATATTTGAGAATAAATAAATATAAATAAATAAATAAATAAAACTTCAATGCTACGATGTTAAGAAAAAAAGGATTGCTCTTCAACTATAACCAGAAATAGTTAAAAGCGTTGTACCAAATTCTGAAGCAACTTGTGTGTTTAGTCTCTTAATATACCTTAATCTTCCTGCTGTGTTCCCTGTGTGTCAGCAAGGTTAGGTCAACTTTGTCATCGGATGATTTCAACGCCTCTTTACCAAATCAACTTTTACAAAGAACTTCTTGACAGTATCTATCACATTGCCATCAGCTTTATGTGTAAAATGTTCAATGTTTTGTTACCATGTGCTCCTACTACGATCAGGTGGAGAATACAATCAGATGGAGGAAAGTGTTTGATGAGGAAGGGAGCGAGATCGGCAAAGAGAGTAATGCAAGAATAGTCAGGTGGTCTGATGGAAGGTAAGATCAATGTATGAAAAAAAAGAAAGTATCATAATCCCAATAATGATAGGAATTAATATAGCTACAAAGCTGTACCAAATTGGTCTCCTAGGCATCGTTTCACAAACCGTCCTAAGAACAAGTTCACTGAAATCCTGTCGAAACATGGAAAAAGTATTGGATATTAGTCTTACAAGGTCCATCTCGTTGTTGTGTGCTAGTGAGCATTCATACCGACTTTCATTATTTCAGTATGTATTGTTGCTTCCCTTAGGATTTTTTAACTCAACTTGTATGCTTTTCAAACGTTTGACAGGAGTTCAACATTTTTTAAGAAACTTGATTTTGAAGCTTTTTTTTTTTAAATACTTATTTGAATTAATATCATATAGTGTATAAAGTTTAAGAAATTCTTATTGTTCCTCATTCTTAAAACCCACATTCAAAGTACCTTCTTTGAAAATCAGTCAATTCATATGCAACTGAAGTTTCTTTGCCACTTAAGTAACAGTAGTGTTGTGTTACGATTCTTATTTCACCTCAACAGTCTGTCTCTTCATCTTGGGCAAGAAGTATTTGATGTTTACAAGATGACACAGCAAGGAGACTTCAACCATTTCTTCATCCGTCAAGGCACTGGTCTGCAAGGCCTAGCTGTCTTCAGAACGAAGCTCTCATTCAGGTAGATATGTTAACAGTCTTTATGGGAGGTTATTACACTTTTGTTGTAAAAGCTCCTGTTCACATGCAATCACAATCAATTTCATTTGATTTTCAGTAAGATGTAAAAAATTAACATTGTTCAGTCACAGGCATAGAAAAGGCATTGATTCTTTCTGTGAGGTTGCCATCTTAGTTTAAAGATTGGAGTTGGTGTATAGTCATTTGTACACCCGTATTGTTTAATCAAGTCTGTAACCGTGTAAAATGTGCATGTTATGAAATAAGAAATGGACATTCGTTTCCTTTTTTTCTTTTGCTGAACTTGTTTTTTGTTACTCAATAAACTAATTCTCCATGTTATGTGATACGTTAGAAATATGCTGTAAATTTTAATTAAACCCGTACTTGTTCTAACAATATTTCTTCTTGTTTGTACTTGTTTAGACCACATTCCACAGATAGTGCTACTCACAGGAAGATGACCCTGTCCATGGCCGACCGATGTTCCAAGACCCAGAAGATCAAAGTGGTTCCCATCTCTGGTAATGACCCAGAGGCACAGAGGGGCGAGATGATCAAGGTGAGTGCTGCAAGAATGTCTCAGGATACCATAAATATAACCAGCGTTTTTCAACTCGTCTTTCAGTCAAGATTCAAGTTCTTATTCTTCACCAATTCAAAATCATTGTGCAATTGAGAATGGTGTGTGTGTATTGGGTTTTTTACAGACGTGTATCAATCATATATGATTATTTACGTCTGGGGACCGACCTTTAAATGTCACCATCCCAAAGACATGACTCAGTTTCGAACCTGCATCCTCGGCTGAATCAGAATCAGTGTAGCTTCCATTGTTAGCTGGATTACAGGCGCTCGCCACACATCATTTTCAAATTATTTCTTGCTCAAACCTTGTTTGTGTCTTCCCTCAGAGAGAAGAGGAGAGATTACGAGCATCACTGAGGAGACAGAACCAGCAGCGGAGGATACGAGAGAGATCCCACCAGCGAGGGCTCAGTGCAGGCTACCTGGAGCCTGACAGAGAGGATGGCTTTGAGGAGGAAGACGATTCGGCCATCAGCCTCTCCGCCATCAAGAAGAACTTCAAGAGCAGTCTTGCCAAAGGTAGGAAGAACATTCAACCGGGTTCAAGTAGTTCTCAGCATACAGGAAGTGGCACCTGATTCTGTGTATTAAACTATAAGAAAGAAAAGTAGGTCTAGGCCAGTTCGCCCATTCAGACACCAAACTTGCACTGTTGAGTACTAAGTGCAAACTCAGAGTAGAGTAGAGTCTTTGAAAATGTGTATTGTGTCTAAATCAAATTGTATCAAATGAATTTTTCTTGTGCAAGTATTTTAATATAATTTTTTTTTTTTTTCATTGCTTAATTCAACTCTATTGTTGTTTTTCTTGTGCAAAAGATTTAATAACCATTAATTCTGCAAAGGTTGGTGTTACCGTAAGTCTTTCATTGTTAAAGTCTCATATTATGGACACATGAAGAGGTATGGAGATCATGAACTGCAGAAGAAATAGTGGGGGGGGGGGGGGAGAGAGAAAAGAAATAGAGGCTGCTCAAAGTAGAAATAGATAGACTGCATCAATGAAGATGGATGAAAACAGTTCATGTAGAATTGGCTGCAGATAAGAGGGAGACAAAAAAAGGTATGGATATGACTCCGCCACCCACCCACCTCTTAGAGGGTATTCACAGGTAGATGACAATAATGAAATGATGATGATGGTGATGTTGATGATGATGATGACATATTTCTTGTGTTGTGTTGTGTTTTTCAGTTCAAGACCATGGCCTGTACTCGTCAGATGAAGAGGAGGTGGACAGGGCAGAGAAACTATCTAGGGTCAAGGCACTTTACAGTGATAGCGATGACGTGAGTTCATTCATTTCATTTCATTTATTTATACCTACAAATCATTTCATTTTTACGACGTTTATTCAAAGGCAATTTTCAGCATTATGTGTTATCTAGCTGTAAATGATCTGACTAGACCAATATTATAGTCAGGGGGGGGGGGGATATAAAGGAATACAAAATGTGAATTTTTATCACAGATAATAGACATGGTCAAGGAGAAAATCCCCCAAAACCCACAAACTTGAGACAGCAATGCTACTTTTCTGATATAATTCCCCAAAGTAGAGTTGAATATTATTCTCTCTGATTGAAACAATATGTGACGCTCATACCACAATGCTAATCTGACAGAAGGTGCATCATTTCTGTAGATTGTTCATAAAGATTTTGTACCCAACCAAGGGGATGTTTCACAAAGATCCTATGTCGATTTTTAACTCTAAGTTGGACTTAAACATTATGGAGAGCCATTTGTAGCCTTTAAAAAAAATATATTCTGTTGTTGATGGTTATTTTACCTGACTGCTAAGAAAGCATAAATGCTTGTAAGCAACCAGGCGGCCGACGGCTTTAGGTCCTCTCCGAGGGACCTGGTAATGAGGATTAATGCCTTACCAAAGGGCACTAGCGCATCGCCTTTGTTTCGAACCCGGGTCACCGGATTACGAGACCACTGCTCTACTGACTGAGCTATCGCGCCTCCTCGATCAAAAGCAAAAATTGAAGTATTTTATACTTTTCATAAATTCCACATCAAGAACATGAAATATCCTTGATTTTATGCCTTTAAAAATAACTTTTACAAAATATGTTCAAAGATGCCAACGGCTTTCCATAATTGTTCAGTCCAACTTAGAGTTAAATTCGACTTAGGATCATTGTGAAACACCCCCCATGATTACAACTCAAGCTCATGTTCTTTATCCGTGTCCTTTTGATCTTTCTTTTCAGGATTCTGATTCTGAAGGCAAGAAGCGCAAAATAGAAGACTCGGATGATGAAGACCAGGATGAGGGAGCATCGACCAAGAAGAAGAAAAGGGTGGCTGTATTATCAGATGATGATGACGATGAGAGCGACTAAGGATACAGTGCATTGAACTCAAAATAAGAACTACCTTTGTAGGCTCGAGCAATACTCCAACACATGCTCCGGCGACAATTCCTTGGCCATACATTTTCTACATGAACAGGATTTCCGATTGAATGCATAGACCTAATCCTATACCCATCCCTTAGCCTAACCCGATACCAAACTTAAACCGATTGCAACCCTATTCCTAACCTTTTATCTCGATAAGAAAATGGCTTCAATTTATTCTGGATTGTTTATCCTGCAGTAGATTGATTGTTTGAACCAGTAAAATAAAAATAAACTCACAAAAACTTGCTGGAAATCATCTTCTAATAAAAAACACAACTCTCACTTGCACATAGTGACCTGTGTTGCCGGCCCTACTTACCTTGATTTCCTTATCTTTCTATGCTCATTACTCAGCCCCTAAACATTTTCTACCAAAATCGTATGGCACATGTCATTTATTTGTAATCTTGTACATTCAGAGTAAGTTATGTTGGTTTCTGTGAGAATTTATTTTCTATCATTACCAGAACGTTAATTAATGTAGGTAAATGACTATAGAGCAAATGTCACTGCAGCATGTGTCATGCAACCCGAGTCACTGCTATAGTACCATGGTACAGATGCGAGTGCTTAATTCTCATCTCCCCTCTCCCAGCCCATTATACAAAACCAGATGTTTGTTACAAAACAACAAATTCACTTATCATATCATCTTGTTCAAGAATGCTTTTTTGTGTTCTCTGCCCTTGGGTAAACAGACATCTGTCTATGGAAAACATTATATGAATGGGTTCATGTTACCATCTCTTAATATAGAAATACAATGTAGGTGTGTAATCACCCAAGTTATCATGCCAGAAAAATTGTAAAATTATTGGTAGTAGTAGTAGTACGTAACCATTACAAATTAATGAATGGAGTTCCATTTTTCCAAGATGATTGCTATCCTTTTAATTATTCTTCTGTTTATGTAGTTTTACAGGTCATCCATGCCGTCAACATGGGCTCATTGTAACAGCATGTTAATGGGACTATCACTTTCATTAGTGAGAGGGAAGGGGTGGGGCACTGTGTCTATATTAACTCTGAATTCATCATGGTAATTGATATTGTGAACAATAAATGTAAATAGATTAAAATAAACGTCTGTACAGTTTTTATGCAAAACATTGGAGAAGTGAGTGCTTATTTGTTGTACATGAAAAAGTGTTTTTAATAGGTAATTCAGATTCAAGATTAATCAACATGAAATAGGTTGGTGGGAAGTTCTCGCACATAATAAATTTCATCACAAAGGTACAAATACATGTATGAAACTAATGTTTTTACATAGAACCAAGTAATTTGAACACACATATACTTGGAAGCAAGTTCGGACGGATTATTTAACAACAATATACACATAATATACTACGTCCATGGCTGTCCTGCCTGCCAGGAATCCTAGCTTTGAATAATATAAAAACAAAAATTCACTAAGACATACACAATCAAACATTTTATAAACCTGTACATAAAAATACATTTAGTTAATTTGTTAATCTACAAAATTAATATTGATTGTCGCAGAAAGATTTGAGTTCAGACATCACTGAATAAGTAATAATTAACAATGACTGAAGAATAACAAACTTGTTTCTACCATGCACAGACTCGAGTTTCTAATGAGCTATGGTAACGAGTCTAAAGAAAGGAAGAGTTGCTTTAATAACTTGGTTAAAAAAAAAGCATTTCAAGTGAAATGTCTACTACCATTGGATATTTCCGATGATAAAGATCATATCAAACAATATTTTGTGAACATTTAAGTTGTAATATGGAAGAAACTGGCTAAAATATATAATGAATTAGGTTGTGTGAATCATTTTAATTGAAACAAACTAATGAAAACCTACTTGAAATATTATTTGTTGAAAAGCACAAATCTAATAGAAACTACAACTACACAAGAAGGTAGGGACTACACAATCAATTTACAATGGGTTTCATTTGATCCTGTGAGAGTTTGTTTTCTGTTATATTTCTTGATATAACTCTTGATTACCTTTTTTGTATCCCAAACAAGGCCCTTTCCTAATTTTCTTACAATCTTCACATTAACACAAATTTTACACTTCTCCAAGGCAATGATCGTAACTACCGGTACTTAAAATTTCATCCTAAATTCACATAAAAATACAAATTACAATCAAACGTGAAGTTTTATTTAATTATTAAAAATATATATATAATATATATATACATATCACTTGCATATTGCATTTGAAAGTTGATTGTCATTAGCTCAAATGAATTTTACATTACTAATCCCCTGAGCTTTGAGCATATTAGTACAATGGAGTTGATATTCTGGAGTTGTTTCCAAGCTTGAATAGGATATACTACACAATCATCATCTCTTGAATTATTTATTGTAATTCCAATATCTTGTTCATAAAATTCGTAGTACATTCATGCATGCTTAAAAGGCTATCCATAGTGTCTGTAAGAAAATGTCTATCATTCTCCAATGACAGTGAAAGTATAGACAACATATAGACAATTCAGTGAATTTTTATATATCCCTACTTCAAATCATGTTTGAACACCTTCATTTTCAAATACTATGCCCAGTGGCGATTGGTTTATTCTTTGGCAGTATCAAGAAATGTGTCTTGTTTGATGGCTGATTAACTAAAATCTACTGGATAAAATTGTTTCAAAGCCTTTTTTCAAGTAAGATTTTAGAAACGCAGACAATTAGGCAAAAGGCTCAAATCTTTTTGTTCTCTTTTTTGTTCTCTTTGTTTTAAACTTTCAAGCATAATGAATATGCTCTCAAGTATGGTTCCTCCTGCTCTGAATCTGGGCCAGCCTCTCGATGCCCTCAACACCTTTCATGGGTGACTGATGTCATTTTGAAATGTTTGCAAGCACTTTTATGATGATCTCAAAGACCTCACTAAAAGGAGCATATTTCCAGATGATCTTGTAGAGACTTCTGTTTGCAAAATAAATGTTCTTTGAACGATCTCCCCTGCCCCGGTTCTGAACTGACCACTCAGTTCTTTTGGTGCTAATAATAATAATAATAATCTGATTGTTAACAAGTGTCTTTTATGTTGATCAAACAGATCTCATAAGAAGTGTGTTTAAGGATAATCTAGACCATAACACTACAATGATGATGATTAATGTTCTTTTAAAACGTTGCATGCTTCAAGGACGATGGCTAATTTCTCAAACTGGTTTTTCTCCAGAAAATTGTTTACACTGGGTCTAATCTTGCAGAATCCCAGGGGGTGATTGGGGAGGATCAAGGCAATTTTAAAAGTTGAAAGTATGCATCAATATATGGATTACCTTTGTCGTACCATCATTATAGGAAAGTTTGCCCTTGGTAATTCTGGTTCTTCTGAAATTCCCAATGCCTGGTATTGGCACCAGGGGGCAATTCACAAAAATTGTCATCAGTGACAAATGACAGTTTTGGGTATAAGCTACTGAAATACTTGCTTCTGATTGGTTATCAACAGATTTGTCACTGATTTTTGTAATTTGTCATTGAAAAAAAGGCTTTGTGAAATGGGTCCCAGGATCATTGTGCACTGGAAAGGTCCCTGCTCTCAGGTAGCATTCCCATGAGTGCTCTGGTTCTGATCTGGCTTCTCGGCACTCTTCTTCCTCACTATCTCCTGGAGCGGGGAGAGCCTGAAAGGCCGGGGGTTCTTCTGGGGGACATTGGTCGTAGAGGACAGCTTATTCCAGACCCTACTGCCGCTTCTCTTGTTCTTCGCGCTCCCATTGGGTCCTTTGTCCAGGAGGAAGCGATGTCTCAATTTCATCTCCGCCTCGTGATCCAGGATGTACTTGGGGAAGAGGGAGCGCTCATCAAACCTTTGCTTTAATTCTGGCAAGATCAAAAATAATAAAGTATCTATTTTAAGCAAGTGATAATTACATATGGGTACATGTCTGTATCATGGTCTAGGATGTACTCGGGGGGAAAAGGAAGTGTCCCATTCTGGTAAGATTTTTTTTTTTAATAAAGCAAGTAATAAAGCAAGTGATTATTTGTATAACAGGTATATATCGTAAAACTTCTAGCTCCTGCCCAATATAAAAAAAAAAGTTTCATACCTTAAAATGTTTTCTCTGCCTCGTAATCAAGTACAAATAATTAAACCTTCAGCCGTTTAGAGAATCCCTTTTCCATTATGGGTTAAGCTGACGTACCTGGGCTTGAATCCTTCTCCCTTAGGTTCCTAGCGGCAGCCTCAGCTTCTTCATGAGTCCTGAAGTACTTGTGAGGATGGGAGATGAAATCTGGCTTATGCAGCGTCCCGACCTTATCAAGTTCAGATACATCGAGGGCCTGAAGCATGAAAAGACAAGGTTGTCAAACGTACATTCGAGGGCTCTATAATGCATCATATATATGGTTACAATCGCTCCACGGTCAATTTCACCAATTTCCTAACGTCAACTCTGGAAAAACCATTATGACCTAATACTATACTTTAAACCTAACCCTAACCTAAACCTGTCACCAAACCAAATGGTTATACTAAAAATTCTCTCAAGACAATTGCTCCAAGTTCAATTTCATAGACCAACTGAATTCTACACCTAAACTTTGACCTTAACACAGTGCCTAACCCTAACTCTAACCCATTTTTATTTTTTGTGTAAATTAAGTCCGGAGCTCCGTGGTCAATTCGTTCTAGTAAAAGCTTCTCTGCACTGTTTCATAAGCATTATTTCAAAATGTTGTGTTCTTGTTTCTTTGTGAATGCATACTCTTACAGGTAATAGTCAGACTAAAAAGTGGCCAATAATACACCAGGGTCCCTTCTTATAAAGATTTGCTATTGATCAAAATCAATGTCAAGTTTGCGGTCTCCTATCTCCTACCCTCAGGTCCTCACATAACATTGGTGAACAAAAATTTGGTGTGGCAGCATGTCTGGACTTTGTTTTTCACAGATTGAGGGGCTACGTTTAGAGTTGCCATTGGATTTTAGCTCAGTTTTACTTTGCACACTCAGTAGAGTTAGGGACCTAATATGATAGAGTACATGTAGTCTTGGTGACCTGACATTTGCAACTGAGTTTTAGGCTAGGGTTAGGGATTGGATTCAGTATAGTGTTAGGTCCAGGTTGAAGTTAATTGATTTTGTTAGTATGGGAATTGACTGTGAAGCAATTGTTACTGGATCACATTTCAGAAGACCACAATATTGACCCAAAGCCGGCACCGACATAATACACATGGTGTACATATAGAGCAATTAAACTTGGCTTTCATCAACAGATATAAATGGAACAGGTGTCAATTAATGCTGATGTAACCTTGTGGTAATCCTGTCTAGATATTTAGTGAGCTGGAAAGAATTAAACCAGACTTGTTCTTCCTGTTTCCTACTAATAGCAAACCATGGGTCTGCATTGTTCTGTACTATTTTAGGATTCCTGAAACAATCAAAACGCTTCCAAAGTAAAGAGGTAATGGTTTTGTTATGATTCAAGTGAAGTTACCAGGGCATTCAAATGCAAGATCAAAGTGTGATCAACTTGATATCATGCCTATAAATAACTCAAAATATAAACAAAGTAATTACACATCACAATATATATAATCTGATCCTTTGAAATCATCCAAAACAAATGTAACCATCAAATATAACTAATTAAAGCAACAAAAAAACAGCAAATGGATGTGAGATCAGCAAGAAATGAATTACAAAAAGTATGCAGAAATGGGTTGATTCTCCGCAAAATTACAGCTTAAAACTAAAATGATTCACTTGCACCTATCACAAACCACAACTGTATATTAAATGACATGCATCCTGTTACTACATATATTTTAAACAAATTGACATATTAGATCACGCATTTCCTAGTTTAGTGAATGCACTTTAACAATAAAGGTGTTAAGAAAAAGGTAATTAAAAGAATCAAAACTATTAACATCATTGAAGAAAAATTTGTCAAAGCATTAAAGTAACAGAATCAACTTTAAAACTGCAATTAATCAAAGTTTTGATTGTTAGAAAAAACATTAAGGCAACAGAAACATGATGTTAGTACATCAAATCATTTCTAGAAAAGTCAACAAAAAAGAGCAGTGCGATATTTGTAATTACAAATACTCAAAAAGCCATGTCACATGAAAAATATTTTTTTAAAAGTGGTTAAAGCAATGAAAGTCACGACACAGGTTTTGCTGAAAACAAATTTAAATAATCTTCAATGTGATACTTGGTAAATCAAGACAATGCAACCTTTACTGAAAGAAGGCGGCTGTGAGGCTGGCAAACTTTGTATTAAAAAAAAGTGAACACAAGAAATTTTAAAGATGTTTAAAATTTTAAATATGGTGTTCTCTTGTTGTTCTTCTTCTTCTGTTGAAGTACAGGCCACCATGTTGTCGGTGTATCTTCATACTTTGAAGTTGTGCAGATATATATGTACAGTGCTGTGGAAGATCTAATCTATGTGCGGTTAAAATGAAAAGGGAATAAAGTTAAAGACCATATCCGAACTGAAAAATGAAATGGATAAATTATATATCAACGCAAAGCTTATAAGCCATAGATTACAATGATACCAATCATATGCCATTTTAGTGTCTGTCAGAGGAGTATTAGCTCTCTGAAAACTCAAAATCTAAAGCTTTGAAAATTGTCGACCTAAAAATTTGCTATCAACTTGATGACATCATCTTATGTGGAGTACGCATATTCACAATGACTTTGCATTAATTAATCGCCTCCGCTATATAGGCCAACCAATCTGGTCCACATGGTATGTCGTCACTGTAACTACGGCAAATTTGACTCCTGTTGACCCGTAATTTGGAGGGGTGCGGAAAATGAGGTTTTAAATTGCTTTTGTGCAATAATGAAAGGGTATATGTTTTTTATTTCTTTATATTTGTATTATACATTCATTCAGTTTTCCATTTATATCAAGTTGTATTTTCATCGGATAGGGTCTTTAAACCTCGTTGATCTTTCAGGCACCGGGATATAAAGTCAACTTCAAAAGGGTATTCATTTAAAATCCACTGTGTTAGGACTTGAACTTAAAAGAAAGTACAAGCCCATTCACAAAGTATGTTATCCAAAGAAGTCAATCATTTTCAACTCTTATCTTTTTTTTTAACTACCCTACTCTATTTTGCAAGACAGCAACTTTCAAGTCATTTGGAATAGAGTACATGTACATGTAAAGTATGTAAAAAATATTGAGGGGGGAGGTATTACCAAAACTGCATGCATATGGAATTAAATTTACCAAAAGAAATCCACAAAACTTTTCATTTCATTTATCATAATCCATGGGAGAATCATCACAATTTATGAAAGATACACACAAAGGCTCTTTTACTCCAATCATAGTTATGGCATGCAAAGCTTTAATATTCAGTATAGGTTAGATGTCAGTAAACACAATCCCAAATAGTTACAAACAGACTGTTACAATCAAACTTAATTACGTAACAAGGAACTTTGCACAACATTTTGACGAAAGAACATATAAAGAATCATCATTTGGCAAAAACGGAACTAGTTTTCAAGAGGTCCATTTTTTTTATTACCGGTATATCTTTTAATAGTGTCAGCTTACATCACAGCCATGCTAGATGTACAATTAAAGCCCCTCTAAAGTGTTGGGAGCCCCAAATTTGCCAAAAGTTTGATGGCAAAATTTTGCTTCATTGTATAATAATGTCAAAGAGGATGTTGTACACAGAAAACCTAAATTTTGTATCCTTTCATCAATATTCGACTTCAAACACATTTGTTTAGAAAATCCTTGCAGAAATATATCTTTAATGACATTCTCTTTCACATTATGTTACGATTTAAGTGAAATTTTGCCATCAAATTGTTGGGGCTCACAACACTTTAGAGGGACTTAAAGATGGCTGAGTTAGCAGCTAGGTGCTCAGGGTAAGCCCCACCCAGTTAAACAGTTTTTTGTTCAATATGGTCTTCACAAAGGAGTTGGACCCTGAACCGTTCTCAAGCTTTCAGTTCAAAACAAAACTCAACTTCCATTTTGCTGTATGATAATTCATTATAGGATGTTCAGACTACAGAGCTTAGTATTGCATAACGGTTTCTGTACAGTGCTACAAGCCTGTCGTCGTCGGCTCGAGTTTGCCAAATAACCCCCTATTTTCAGACTCGAGTATTATCCCGAAGCTCGAAATTGCGTCTTTAGCAGACTGATACGCTCATCACAAACTAACTCGGACGGGCGCAAATTAGCCCGCTATCTCCCGAATAGCGGGATATTTTGGGAACAAGACCAAGATTACTTGGGATATTTTCTCAACCAAACTGCGGGGCTGATGAAGACGAAAATTAACTGTTTAATTTTCGATTTGGGATAGTTAAAATAGCACGTTATTTGGCAAACTTGAGCTGATGAGGACAAGCCTTATGATGAGTTTTTGCTCGTCTGAATGGGGTGGGGGTGAATATCTAAAGAGGAAAGCTTGTTACCTGCGTCCACATGGGTGGTCTCAGCTTCTCTGTAGACTGAGTGAAGGGGGAGGTACATGGTATGGTAGCAGTGCAGATCAAATAAGCAATGAAAACATATCAATATCTAATTCTCTAATTCTATGCCTACTTTTCTTTGTATCAAGCACAACATTTTGCAGTAAATCACAATAAAATTGGCCCCGCTTGTACCACAGAAATGTAAATTACAGTTTCTATTCTAAAGCAGATATAGGTATGAAAGAAAGGAAATAATGTGTTTTGATTGCCCTATCATGTATTATGGAATTACATAATGTACATGTACTTCTCTTGTACAGAATAAGTACAAAAAAGGAAAGAGAAAAGTTTGAAATACAATGCAGAATTCTGTACAACCTGCCCTGAATAATCGACTACAAAATATTCCACAGAACTGGTGAATAGCACAATGCATATATGTAATCACTAATCCTTTATTCAGAAATAGTGGACTAAGCACTCCTAATCAAAATAGTTCGTGAAATTTTTTTCTCGATCTAATGGCAAATGTTTATGGAATATTAATAAATGAATTTCAAACTACCCCTGCCAAGCGCAAATTACAGTTAACCACAAGTGCAGTACATATGTTTGAAAGCTGATCAAAACAGATCCTGGATAGAGCTGGCATTACAAAATTTATATAATTACTGTAAGAGTGCAATAAAACGATTCAAACTAGAACACATCAATTCTTAATTTGCATACATTGTGTGCTGGAAAGCCCGAGTCCGATGACCGGGGTAATGATATATCTGTAAAGCGCTTAGAGACACCATTGATATATTAAGCGCTATATAAAAACGGCATATTATTATTATTATTATAAAAGGAATTTAAGTGATTTTTTGACTAGCACTCTGTCTGATAAACATTCATTGATCTGAACCAATCACCTGACCATACAGTGTTCACAGAGCACAGAATGATGTTTGCACTTGGCTTGGGCGACTGAAAAGTAACTTATAGTTTAATCTATTGACCAGGATGATGACCTATAACAAAGAACAAATATAGGCTTTATACTACTGTAAAACAAAAACATTCTGCAAATAGTTAGGAAAAGCCACTTTTAAAGCAAGAAATTTTCCCAAATTGTATAAATTTGTGTCTATTGTGAGTCAATTATTTTGCAACATAAAACTTTAATGAATCTCATATACTTTTCATGCACACGAAAGCTCCTGGTTTTAGAGTATTTGTAATGCAGCTGTAATTCTGATTAATTAAACTTACAGCATAGGGTCCTGCAGGGGGTTGGTTAGTCCTCTCCCAAGACAAGTAAGGTAGGTCAGGAATGGTACCAGGTTGTTTCCTCTCCCTCTTGTTCTTTCTCACTTCTTGGTACTGTTTGCCTGCACAGAGAAAGGGTAAACACCAGTCTTTATCAGTTCTTCAAAGAAAAAAAAGTAATTGGCATTGAAGTAATCGTTTTCTGTGGACAACTCAAATCAATTCTGACTTTTCCATCCATACCCTTTATGTTAAACTACATCTCTTTTTCTTTTACAGATTAACCTGCTTTGGTGTCATATCACAAAAACAACATACCTTTAACAACAAAAAAAAAAATCAGATTTGTTCTCTTATATATGCAGTGTTTTACTTTGAAACTTGTATAGAATGAATATTGTTCTAAGATTATACCAACTAACTTTCCAGTTTTTAAGAGTCTTTTATGATACAAGCTAAAAGTGTATGTATTGATGAACGTGTAATGTCTTCACTTTTAAAGTCACAAGGTATGAAGCACCATAATAACAGAAACACACTATCAAAAATCATCAAAATATCTATTATCATAATGTAATGATGAAGAATAATGATGAAGAAGTTGGCTTTTATTGTTATCATCGTTATACCTAGCCTGGTGGATTCCCAAGTATTGACCTTCTCCATGGGGTCAAAGTTCACCAGGACATCGACCTCCATCTCCTCATCCGACTTCTTGTCTTCGACCTCTACATCTTCCTGGCTCAATTCACTGTCGCTCATTTCCTTTAAAAAATAAAAAGTTATACAAATTAAACGTTTGAATTGCCTTGTCACAAAAATAACTTTAAAGGAAAAAAACATACAATGGAGTTTTTTCTGTCTGCAGAAAGAAAAAAAAAGAGGAACATTTGGAAAAAATTTGAGTAATTGACAAATAAAGTTATTGATTTCTACAAGTCAAAATCATTGAATACAGAAATCTTAAAATTGGCAATCAGCCATGTGACTCAGATATCATCATTGACTACTCAACATTTAATTTCAACATATACAAGAGGTGACCGAAGAATTTCTATTTCCATTTTTACAATGAAAAATAAAAAACTAGTGAAATACTTTTTTGTTAAAAGGTAATGATTGTTTGCATGGAGACTGACATCTACTACATTTAATGAACAAACACAAAGGTGGGAGTCAAATATGACCACGGAAGGGATTAATAATAATAAAAGGGGTTTAATGTTCCCTCAATTGTTTTTTTTTTAATGGAGTTGAATGGACCTGTGAATTATTACTTACATCCATTTCGCTTGGGGTGGGTTCGGGTGAAGGAACGTAAGGTTCAATCTTCCAATGCTCCTCCTTTAAAAAGATATGATACACAACACCATTAATACCGTTACAATATAGTACATGTCTAACTGGTTAAATTGACAAATGATACAATGAAATAACACTGGGTTCTGGCTTGGAAAGTATAATAAGTTTCTGAATATATTGACATTTTTTTCTTCTCTTTGCAACATATCTTTCTCTCTTTCCCTCTGTCTGTCCTTTTCCCTTCTTTGTCAAATAATAGTAAAGATACAGAAGTAGAATGGGGTACAATTTAAATAATTACATGAATTCCTCTTTGTGTCACCTGTCTGTCCATCTCTCTCTCTCTTATCACTGTCTCCCCTCTCTCTTTCTATCTCTTGCCTATATATCTGTCTATCAGTCTCTTGATCCCTCTTCTTGCTCTCTCTCTCTCTCCCTTTTATGCATGAAAGCATAATTAGGTAAATACAAAATCAACGCATACCTACAAATAAGGCATAATCTGCAAAACAGAACTTCAGTTAAAACGAATTTCACTTTCTGGAATCTAACTTAACTGTAACATTCTAATAAAGACAAACAGAAATACATCAGAAAATAAGCAGTCAACTAGATGATTTCTGACCTGACCAAATGTTCCTATGTGGTTGCCATGAATATCAGCCAGCTGAACGCTAGAGTCTGCTGAAGCTGAGATAATGAGCCAGCGTTCATTGCGCTCACACATACTCAGGTAGTTTACTGCATCAGCATGGAGGTGCCAAGATGATAATGTGGCTAGAAAGGGGAAAAAAGTAACAAAGAATGTAATCATGGGTGATCACTTTTGCAACCACCTATCAAAATGCTTCCAAATAACCCTTGCCCCAGTCGTTGGACTCTTTAAAGCCTATACATAATCTGTGCAGCATTTTTACTCTAAGAGAAGCATGCAAGACATTCTTAAACACATTCATGAAACTCTCACATATCCCATCGTCTTCCCAATCTCTCCTGGATGAAGAGTGGCAAATGTACGATGTATATAAGTCTCCTGCTCAGGGAGATTAATTCTGCAGAAGGGACTTGAACTGTGAACCATTTGATCCACGGCCTGGCAACATAACCACAACACCTCTAGATAGATGGACAGTAGTGGTAATGGTAGTGGTAGTGGTAGTGGAAGTGGAAGTGGTAATGGAAGTGGTAATGGAAGTGGTAGTGGAAGTGGTGGTAGTGGTGGTAGTGGAAGTGGTAGTGGAAGTGGATGGGTTAATGGTAGTGGTGGTGGTAGTGGTAATAGAAGTGGATGGGGTAATGGTTATGGAAGTGGTAGTGGAAGTGGATGGGGTAATGGTTATGGTAGTGGTAGTGGTAGTGGTAGTGGTAGTGGTAGTGGTAGTGGTATTAAAAGTTGATGGGATAATGGTTATGGTAATGGTGGTGGAAGTGGTGATGGTTATGGTAGTGGTAGTGACAGTGGTAGTGGAAGTGGTAGTGATAGTGGGAGAGTATGTTATTGGATAACTTGTCTAACCCAATGATAATCTGCCACAAGGATCAAGTCCATGATCGATGCAAAAGAGAGATCTCAGGACTCACCAGGAGGTTGTGTCAGAAGCACATCAGGTTTGTGAAGACAGTACTCTTGAATCTTCCAGACCTTGATGGCACCCTCACTGTCTCCAGTCACAAGATAATGGTTGTTGCTACTCACTGCCATCACAACAGAACCAACTGACATAGCAGAAAAAGGGGAAAATGTTACATGTCATTTTTATTTGAAAAGCATGAACAATCAAATACAAATGCGCATACATACAATCTCTGAAATCTACATATTAATCCAAACATATGCATAAAATTAAATATAATGTCAAATATTTATCTTTAAAAAACTGGAAATAGTAGCCAAACAAAGTATCACATCAAATATATGCTATGTCAGCCTTATAAAACAAACATAAAAACTATGGCATAGTTTAAAGAAAATAAAATAAATTATTTAGTTCATTAAAGTTCATGGAGTAAGAACAATAGTTTGACATCTGACATGAATAGTTACATCATTCATCCTACATACATTTTTGTGCCAAAAGGTTTCACTAGGATACCTACACCAATATCGTCATTTACATACCATCCTGATGGGCAATGAATTCAGCCAATAGGGCATTCTTGTTAGCATTCCAGAAGCGCACCCATCCGTTACCCCCGCAGGATACCAGGTTTGCACCCCCTGATGCAGACAGGTGCTTCCGGGCTTCCAAGAACAGCAACTGCTTGATCACATAACTATTCATCTAGAGAAAAAGATAAAGAGACAAACGTGTATGTTGAGTGAGAGACATATAAATAGATAGATTCAGACAGAGAAAGAGATATACAGAATGATAAAGAGACAAACATATATATATATATATATAGAGAGCGAGAGAGAGTGCAAGACATATAAATAGATATACATGTATCCAGACAGAGAAAGAGATGTACAGAAATATAAAGAGAAACATACTAACAAAGAGATAAAATAGAAAGACATGAAAACATGTGCATAGATGAAATGAGAGAAAAGAAAAGAAATAAACACATTATACCAATGTATCATTTAATTATGTTAAGAACCATGACATTTTGGAATGTGGTTTTCTCGGAATGTGTATCAGTTGTCCATGCATCCTTTAGTGCTCTTCTGTCACAGATAGATCTTGAGCTACAGAGAGAAATATATAGATGAATAAACCAAAGCAAAGGAGTAAAATAAAGAGAAACAGAGGAGAAAAAGAGAAGAAAAAATGTACACTGTACGTACATGCAGATACAAAGAGTCTTATTAATTTTACATGTTAACTTTTAGGACTGAGTAATTCTGAATTTTAAATCCTTACACAGATTTTGTGCTACAAATTATTGTCCATAAATTATTCTGCTGCTGTTGTGAACCATTACCACAATACTCAATCATGAAATCAAATATGCTGAGACTCTGTAGCCTGGCCGATGCTTCAACGAAAATTCCAACCTAACAATCAATGTCCTTACCTCATCTGATTCACTACTCTGACTTGATCCTGTGGTGGGTCTCTTGGTACCTTCGGTCTCCTTGCTTCCCAGCCTGGTGGCTTGGGACACTCTGCTTGGATGGTGGGCACTCTGAGCTGAATGGATGCTGGTATGCTGTCGGGATAGACCTGGGGTTGTGCCATCATTAAGGAGGGACTGCAGATAAATAATAATAACAATAATAATAATACCTGCAAATAAATAATAATAACAATAATAATGACTGTTTCTTATAAAGTTCTTTACCAGTAACAACTGGACAAAGCGCTTACAATTTTATCATTACCCCAGTCACTGGATTTAATTGTTTTTCTATACATTACAGTGCACATTCTCCACTCCCTGGGAGCATTCTAGCTAGTCACCTTCTAACGGGTGTATACAAGCTAAACCCATCACATTGACTTTTAAATCCTACTAGATACTCATTTAACACCTGGGTGGAGAGGAGCAATTTAAACAAAATGCCTTGCTCAAGGACATAAATGCCATACCGGGGCTCGAACCCGCGATCTGCCAACGACTTTTGCATTCCCAGTCAAGTGATTAAACAACTCAACTACAACACCTCTGCTCAAAGTAAATCAACAAGGTCATCCTTTGGTGACCTCACATTTGCTTTGGTGACATGTGCTCCAGCAGCATTAGGCCAGGGTTGAAGTTAAGAAGTTTGATTAGTGTAAGAAATTGGCTGAACATTAATTGTTGTGATCTGAGCATATATGCCATAGGCATAGAACCAATTTTGTATCACTTATGTGTTTTAAACTAGCCAGTAAAAAATAACATCTGTGTGGAAGACAATTTACATTTACTTCTATCAAACATTCAGAATAGCTAGTCAACATTTTCTCTACAAACTATTAATAACCAACGGACAAAGACTAACAGAGGTCTAGTACACAAAGACCAAAAATGTTGGGCCTAGTGTACCAAGTCCCACAATATTTTGCTCTGGACAAAAGAGAAAAAGGTGTCATTGGAATCCTGCTACACTGTACTTCATGTGGATTGGACGAAATACAACCTGTTGATTCGCTCATTAGTTGTATAATCAGCATACCCCTATCTCTTACCAGTTTAGTCTTCTCCCTGCTCTTAGCCTTCTTGTAGAACCTTTGTTGGAGGTGCCTCGATGAAACCTCTGACCCCGTATTCCAGATCACAATCTCTCCATCATAGCTCCCTGTGGCAAGGGTGTGTGGTGCCATGAAGGCTGCACCCAAGATGTCATCTTGATGCTCCTGCAGTAGGAAAGACATTACAAATGTTTTAACTATTATTCTTTGAAAGCTGAAAGTAATTTTTTTCTACTTACCGTAAGTTATTCCCTGACTTCTGTATATATCAAATCATTTCATGAAATATCCCCCTCCAATTTTACAAAGATAAAAATGATATTTCTTCAAGGTCAGAAAACTAGCAAATACACGGAAACATGGCCTCATTTACATGTTCCTTTTGATTCCTTTGTGTTCATAATTTGTGTTAACTATTTAGACCATTAACTTTCCTTTTATCTTGTGGCATGGTAAAGTTTAATCACTATTCTCCCATGTCCATCCGGTTTTTTCAATGATGGGGTTCATGTTTAGCCTTACTAGAATAAATGATCTCTAATAGTAGCACTAATTCTACTGAAATATCCTAGAAATATTAATCAACAAGTCTCTCCTATATTCTTTTAGTGTAAGTGGTGGATATGGTTTGTAATATAAAGTATTTTTAAAGAAAGATCTGCTTTGTTGGTGCAGTGGCAGCGGTGGGATAAAGAAGGTAATATTTTTTAAGGTAAAAATATTTATGGACATCAAGTAAATACTTATAGTGAAAACTACAAGCATGAAATAAATAATCTTGATTATACTATACAAACTCATTATTGAGACACAACCATTAAACTTATAGATTTTTATAATAATAATAACAATAATTATGGATTTATATAGTGCTCAATATGGAATAGCGTCCCTAATCGCGTTACAGATATTATTATTACCCCAGACATTACAAACATTCACACGCACAATGTGCACATTTCACTCCCTGTGGAGTATTCTTACCATATGGTCCCTGTGAGGGCACATGGCAAGTTCTATCACAAAGGCTTTCGTCATCCTATCGGTCCCTATTTCTCTCCAGGGTAGGGAGTGGCAAATGTGTATTAATTTCTTGTCAAAGGACATTAGTGCCATGTTGGGGATCTACTATGACACCTCTACAAATTGCTTTAGGACAAAACATTTGACAGGTTTGATCACGGTTATTGATATAAATAGATTCCTACCTTTCCTCCTTTCCATTCTGATGGTTCAACCAGGTACTGATTTATCTGATGATTACGGAATACTGTGATGTATCTGATGAAAGAATATAATGCATATAAAATTACAACATTTTATATCAACTTAATATGTTAGTTACAACTGACTATAACAGACATATCTGTCTTTCCTGTATAATGTAATTAATGTCATTATTAACATCACCATCATCATATCATCATCACACTTTTAATCATCAACATACTTATCACCACCACCACCACCACCACCACCACCACCACCACCACCACCACCACCGCCGCCGCCGCCGCCACCACCACCGCCACCACCACCGCCACCACCACCACCACCACCACCACCACCATCATCATCATCATCACAGACAACAACCTTGTCATTACCCTCTTCTTTATCAATACAGCACATTGAAGCCTCACCTGTCCCACCCAATGACCACCAGACTTCTCTTCAGCACTCCAATCTGTGAGATATCTACTCCATTTCCCATGCCTGCATTCAGAAGGTGATGGCAGTGACCATTGAAATCCCATATCTAGATAAAAAATAAGGTCATCATTTTATCAGATAAGAGTTAAAATACTACCTGTGGTCAAAAAGTAAAATGCATTAATCAAATTTACTCAAAATTACAGCAAGATAGCAAAGAAAACAGTTTGTTGACTGAAATATGTAGCTAATAGTAACAATTTTCATGATGTACTTTGAAAGGCAAACACTAAAAAAATGTACCGGTACATACATTAGGAGGGAAGTGTCACTTAACATATTCAACCAATTCATTATTTTCCTAGGAACTCTTCACTATTACTAAAACAGAATATAGATGGTATTATTTCATATATATTTACCTCTCACAGTGAATTCCTTGCACTCCATATTAACTAGATTATTAATCATTAGAACAAATGAAGAACAAATGCGACATGGACATATACCACTGCCACTGTAATTGACATATTCTAAAGTCCTTTAAAGCCTATCTGTCACGGATTAGGCATTGTTTGCTATACAGAGGGCGCAAGTGGCTTTAAGTAGTGCAGTGGGGCACTAAGTATTTGAATAAGCAATAGCAGTTCTTTATGATACCGGTAATCATTTTCTCATATGACGCATAATCAATATTTCAACAAAAAAACAAAAAACATGTACCTTGACAGTGCCATCAGAGCTGCCAGTGAAAATCCTTGTCTCATTGTGATCAAATGCCAGGCAGGTGATCTCGGCATTACCATGGCAATTGAGAAACTGCTTGGCTTTCTGCCCAGTGTCTAGCATCCATACGATGACTGTAGAGCCATGGCAAGCACTCACCACCTGATAAAAGATTCATCACATGATAATTAGAGAAGTATGATGCATTTATTTTGCAACTGCAATTCAAGTTACATTTAGTCACGGTGGAGGTCGCCTACATGGCTATTTAAGAGTTTTTTATATCTAATTTGTCAAATCTGAAATAAAGACTCTTGATTATTGACTATATAACTGAATATTTATAATAATTTCTTGACAGTCACGTTTATATTAAACAGTCATGTTTTTCATTCTCCTCTTGTATTAAATTATATCGACAGAAAATGAAATTTTATGTTTATCATAGGAAACTTACACTAAATGTAAAGACTTCATATAAATAAATCTACTGATCAGATTTGGTAGAACTACAGATAGAGAAACAATGAGCTATTAAAGATGAGTTACTGAGTTAATTATTGTCATTGATTTGCATCTGTCATTCTTAGAGAATTACAAATAATCTAGAAATAGATGTAACTAGTCCCTCTTAAATTCCAGCTTCAAGCATGGTCAATATTCAAGATAAGCATTAAGAGAACTGACCTGATTAAAAGTGGAGTTGTAGAGGGCCATGCTGATGGGTTTGTCATGGCTCATGACCCGATCTTTGACCTCTGGCCTCATCTCTAACATGGTCAGCTGATAGTTGAAGGCTGTGAAGAGACGATTGGTTGCCTCATGGAAGAATAACGATGTGTACACTGAAAGAAAAAAAACATGTATCATAGGATTGAATTCAATTAAATTTAATCATTTACTTTGTTAACAAACAAAAAATAATATTGCTGCATGCAATATACAACGTTTATATAATTGGCCAAAGATTTAAGAACAGTGTTCTGTAAACTTTAACCCCGCAATCCCTCCAGAAATCCCCCCATCAGCCCTGTAACAATTGCTCCCCCGCCCCTCCCCCCCCCCACCCCAAGAAAAAAAGTAAGGATTGGTTAGTGTACATGAATAAATTGTAAATTGTTGTGTTTTGTTTATGAACGATTCTTTACACCCCATATCACCATTCATCTAAATGTCCCATCATACGGATCATGACACCCAGGTTTGGAATCCACTGTAGTGGAATTTTAAAAAGAGATTCTGAAGTCATCTCCTGCATGATGAATTGATGATTGATAATTGATAGTTGATGGAGATTAAGAGACATTCCTATCATTTGTTTGACTATTATACAATTGGACATAACCGACAACAAAAAACTTACTCTCAGTTCCCTTTGGATACATTCCAGCCATTCTTTGGAGACAGACCTGAAGTTGGACGTCCCAGATTCTTAGGACTTTGTCCTTGGAGAAGCTGATCAGCTGACCACGGGAGAAGTTGAACTGGACATGCACAACCGGAGCCATGTGCCCTCGTAACAGCTAGAAAGAAAACAAATTCAAATTAAACCCTTGTGTACGGGAACCAGGAGGTTCCTGTATCAAGGTTATAAATAATGCAAGAATCCAGTGGTCAATGGGTTAAATTTAAGAGAGATGGGATATTTGGGTTTTTCTCTAAAGAGTGAAAAAAATGTCACATACATGTGCATTCGATGAATAGACAATCTGATGAATAATCACATTTCTAATTAATGATTCATTTTCAAAATATACCACAAGGGGGAGGGAGGTAAACATGATCCACTGTCTTTGACTTTGAGAAGAATATTGGAAGCACAAAAAATAATAATAATAATACACAACATTTATTAGGTGCTTAATATGGTAGTTTCTAAGCGCACTATTGTCTGTCTACAAATTACCAACCAAAACTTATAATGACTCACCCCAACTGCTTTTGACACAACATAAGGATTCCAAAGACAAACATGATGATCTACTCCTGCTGTGGCTGTATTGAGTGAATGAAAATAAAATGATTTGATTATTAGTATTGTATTCTTAATAGAGAACTTGAGAACTGTGCGGTGCAAATAATACAAGCATTTTACGATTTTGCAAAACAAACAATGATGTGATAATCTTTAGACATGCACTTAACATTTTGCAACTATGATTTGACAATGATAACTTTAAATACATGAAAGGTGCAACCAATAAAACCTATAAGACAAAATGATATCTAGCCCTTAGATAACAGGAAAGGAAAGGATTCCCATCAGATAACGTTGCAGTTAAGAATATTGTCTTTCTTTACAACATACTTTTAAAAGAGGAATCAACTGAAATAAAAAGCAAAGTGGTATTAAACACAGAATCCATGTTTAGCAAGAAAGTCAAAGGATATGTACACAGATTATTTTTCAATGAGTAGAAAAAATGAAGAGACCAGACTAAGGTAGAATAGGAAAAAAAGGAAGGACTTTCTTACCAATTAGATTAAGACCGTTGTGATAGGCGAAGGCATTTACCCCCTGGGAGATATTGAAAGAATTCCTGCAGATAATGTATGAAAGTTGAATTGAACTCAAGGTTAACAATAATCATGATATGATCCTGAAGGCAAAGTAACAAAGTTATATCTGCAGCACAAGTGAATAACAGAGATACCATTAAGGATTATGTTGGGGAAGTAGAAATAAACGATTTAAATTATTGCATTTTATCTATTGGTCTTACATTTAGCATATACTCCCTTTGTGTAATGACATTCTTTTATTTAATTCATAATTATTACAATAGTACAGAACAGAATCAGAGCTCATAATATGATCAAAGATTAATTTTCACAATCATTACACATCATACAATATAAATGGTTTAAAATAACTTTACATTCGTATAATATGACTGCATGATGGATAAATAAAGAAATTGGAATAAGATCACGTATCATTCTTCTTACGTTTTCATCTTTGACTTAGCCTTCTCTATCCATCCCAGTACCATGGCATTCTCATATGAAGTAGAACACGAGATAAAGCAGTTTAGGTGCTGAGCATACTTCACTAGGAGTTTGAAGAAAAACAAATACGAGTATTAAATAAACATATCCATCATGTATAGGTGCTGATCATACTACCTGAAAGACATCAGAGCGAATAAGAGTGATACATGAACATATATAATGTTTGGATTCTCAGCATACTAAACATAGAGAGATATCAAGGTATTGAGATATCTCAATAATACTTAAACAAATCAAATAGGTGTTATATATTAAACAAATCAGGATTTGGGTCACTGTATAAAAGGTCACAGTGCAAAGAAACCGATGGACAGTTTGGGAATTCATATATGGCGCAATTGCTCAAAAAAAGTTTTTTTAGGAATGACATTTATTTGGCACTTTCTAAAATGTTTTTTTCCAATACTTTTTATATCACATCCATTTTTTTTAATACTACAGTTCAAGATTTGTCTTCTCCTTCAAAAAAAATCAAATTTTAGTATGAAATATACCTCATAAATTATGATGATGACATACCTTGTCTAGCCCACTCTGTATGGCCGTTGTGCCTGATGAGACGACAGTACTTGAATTTATCCTTCAACAGATGTTTGAAGTTCACATTCACAACTTGCTCTGTAAAAGAAATGAAAGCTAAAAATGAATCGTCTATTTGTGTTTGGTAAGAGAATGATGACCATTTTGGGGATAGTAATATGGATGAATTACAGATGCTTCATAAAGGTCCATGGTATAATGACAAAACCTTCCTTCATTGCTACATGGCGGCAATACTAGCAAGAATATGCTAATAACATCCATTGAATTCTTGACTAGTTCAATCAGGTACCCACAACTCAGGAATTCCCTTGTTGTTCTTCAGAGACTGTGCTTCTTTAATTGTAACTTCAGTTTTTAGTGAAAACCTTATGTTCATGTATGTGACAAAGGGAGCAAGAAATACATGCGTTTAAAGGTGGAATTGTTTGAAGCCGGTCATGCTGTCATGAGGGTATCACAATGAACCACCTTGGCACAGCATAGAGTGGTGAAGTGTGACGTCATCAAAAATATATTTTGGGATTTCTCTTTTTTTTTCTTCATTTTCCGAAAGAGCATAAAAAATAATGTTTAAATGTTGAAAACCAATTGAATATGTTAAGTAGTGGCTGAGATATGACCATCTGAATAAATAGATTTCCTATAGGAACTGTGTCATTTTGCTCTGGTTCATAACATTAAGAACCAGAGATTTTATGATGTCACAATTTCAGTAATCTATGGTGCATGAAGTTTCCTTCTTACCTTGACCTTCTCCTCCAGGTTGCTGCGGCCTGTCAAAGAGGGCGATGTTCGAGGAGGTGAAGTGGAAGGCATTGACGTTACCCCCGGTGTCTCCCATCACTAGGATGGCCTCGTTGGAGTTATCCGGGTTGCTCCTAAAATAACAAGATGTTTCTTTACGCTAACTATGAAATAGCACTATCCACCCAATATCCACCTTACATCCACCCAACTGATAATGAAGACACCTTCACTGTTTTAAACAGTCTTTTGCTTACTGTAACAATAACTACGAAATGTCATGGTAATCTATGTGTATCAAAGGAAAGTTGTAAAGGAAATGATGATCTAAAACAAAACTTTTTATACCCAATTTCAGAATTTGAATTGAATATAATTTCCTGTTTTAACAGACCATACGTAGCACCAATAGTAATTTGTATATTATTTAGTGATACAAAGCACTCATTTTCTATTGATATGGTTTTGTCTTGTGCATTATATACATTGCTTTACAAATTGAACAGATTTCTCAAGTGTAACAATTAGCAGTCCTTAAAAAATTTCTTGTCTCTTTGCAAAGGAAACTAGCATTGATTCAAACTTTTTTGTCAACTTACCAATAGTCCATGCTGAGGGGTGTATGTTCCAATCCAAACACCCTGTACTGTACATTGAACTCCAGTTTAGAGCTGAGATCATAGAAGACTGGTAACAGGGAAGAAAGACAATAGATTCATAATTAAGAATCATCATAGTTTTAATGTAGACTAGAAATTAGGTTTGATATCAAACTATTGGCCAAAGATTTTATTGTGCTCTGAAATATATTAATACCATCGGGAAAATAGAAGAAGATTTAACCACATTGTCAATTGCTGGTTGATTTCAGAATCAGGGATTCTTACATTTACTCTGGCTTCTGATGTATTATATAATAATCATAAAGACAAGAAAGGTGTATTTGGAGAGAAAGTTATATATATACCATAGACTTAAAACTGGTCACAAGCTTAAAGCTCAGCTTCACCACTGGATATCCCACAAAATTTGCCACACACTTATTTTACTAATGTGGCACTAATGTCTTTTGGCAAGACATTAATCTACATTTGCCACACTCCACCCAGGTGAGGTAAATGGGTACCCAATATAACTGCAGGGCCCTCAGGGAGAACAGTATTAATACTGATGAGGCTACCCTTGGAAAACAAGACATATTAGTATTACTATTATTAATTCACTATTAGTAACAAATGCATCTGTATTAGTTTAACTACTGACTGTAATCACTATTTGAACGTACCAATTTCCTTGCTAGTAAAGGAGAGTGCAATCTTGTTGATATTTTGAAGCACCACAAATGTTGTTACCCACACATCCCTGGGTTTAACTGAGTCATTGGTGATCTAAGGAAAAGCAACAAAAACAAATTCTTGTTGGAATGTTTGAATGACGATGGTTTTACATGTTTTAAAATGTTTACAAAAAGAAATCATTCCAAATGCTTGGAAAATCACAGAAGATAGAAGAAAAAGGGCTATATTTACTTACCTTCTGAAAGAAATAGCCAAATCGAAATAATAAAATTAATATAAAGAAATAAATTTATTCAATTGGATGATCTATACACACAAAAAAGGAATATTGTTAGACTATTCACAAGGCTGTAGGTTAAACACTTTTTTTTAACCCTTTTTTTCAGCACAGATAAGTGCATATAAGTTAATTAAATCCACTATAACATACACAAGCACATCCTGGTACTATAACTGTAGCTCTACTGAGTAATGTTAACCAGTAGTCATAAATTAATACATTTATGTATGATTTCTGACAAATTTGTTTGTTTCATTTTATTTCATTTCCAGGGACATGAAGGAGTATAAAATAACAGTGAATACAAGAAATCAAAGTACCGTAATAAATACAATAACAAAAGAAAATAAATCATCAACTAATGCTTGGGGATTACCAAAAGAAACTGACTTTCTGTAGGAGGCTTGTGGTATAATACAATTAGTATACATAAATATACATAATTATATGAGATATATATATAATAAGATATTAAGATATATATATAATGATAAAACAATAAATAAAATATAAGTAATTATTATCTATATAAGGCTTCCAAGTGGTACATTAAATCAGTGTATTCAATATCTTTAGCGTAGTAGCTGGATGACCGCCCAATATTGTTTTCGTATTGCTCAGTCATCCTAGAACTTCGACTATTGATATCGATATCATATCAATATCTCACCAAAAAAAGCCATATTTACCAAGGAAAGTCAAATGTTGTTATTTCAAATATTTGTTATTTCAGAATAATATAGATAATAATAATGATATTGTATAGATTTGTTTTCATGTGATAAAAGCATATATTGCTCTCGCTAAGACAATATTAGACTCGTCTTTGACTCGTCCAATATTGTAATAACTCGAGCGATATATTCTTGTATCACACTCAAAGCCATCCAATATTATATAATTACATAAAAAAATGTCTCTCTTTCGATCCTCACCTTGATTGATTTGTGAGTCCTGAGATGGGCATCAAACGTTGAGATGCAGCCTTCTTTGCTGGTGATGATGTAACGAGATGTGTTCTTGATGTAGGAAATCTTTTGCACGATGTCCTTGTGATCGCTGAGAGTTTTAAGAATAATTGATTTTCAAGTATACAAAATGACACATTCTATATTTAGAGAAATAGATTATTAAAGGTACTAATGAAATAATATGGAAGTTTGTATTGAAATGTGTTGAGGTTCACTAACCATCATTGATATTTGATATGTATCAATATTCTGTTCATAGACATATACACATGTAGATCACATAAATAAATCATATTACACAAAACTTATAAAACAAACAAATAGGTAGAACCATATATCAAAAAGTGTAATGGACAGTGTTTTTAACAACAAATAAACCACAGAAAAACCATGGAGTGACATATTTCTAGAAGAAGAAAAAAAACATAATCAATATGCTTATTCTCTATCCTCATGTGTGAACTGAATTATGAACTGAAATTGGTGGGGACATTTTTTTTTACCTTGGCAGTTGCTTGATATCCTTCCATTGAGGAACCTGTTGTGACAAAAATATGTGTAAAATACTGAATATCACGTGGAATCATGCTTATGATAAGCCCAACTGAAAAAAACGTTTGTACAATAATACTCTTTACTGAATTTAATTAAAGAAAGTGTTCTGATTACTTATTCATTTCATGAAGGGGAAAATCAAGAGACATGTAGACCAGGTAAAAGCGCTTCTTAATTATCAGAACAGACATGAGCATGGAAATCATCCTTTTCAGTAACATACCTTTAACTTCATAAATGAACCTCAACAATCAACTTGCCACTGTGATTATGTTGTTTACATACAATTTATTTCCACTATTGAAACTAGGTACATTCATCATAGGCATGTAAACATATCTTGTATATATGAAATTAATTAAGAATAGAAGTTACTTTCATAAAATATGTCAAATAAATCACTTCTATGCAATATTTATTTTTGCTACATATTTAATAACAGAGACCCCTACCTGTGTTGACTTGACTCTGTCATCCTTTTCCACATACTCCAGTAACAAATGTCCAGTAAATTTGTCCTATGGAAGTTTGACAAAAGAAACCCTAAATGTTAAACTCACTTGATTACCTTTGTCGTTCTTCAGATAAACAGTCATGTGTAATATACAAATTAATCTTAGCACATATGTCAGAAATATGAAGGCACATGTTTGTTTTTTTAAATAATCTTGGTTCTGACAATAAAGCTGCATTTCAAGACATTGGTCATGGATTTAATAATGATCCTTTAAAACTAAGTGTTTTGTTGCATCATCAGCAAATGAAAGTAAAGGAAATTTCATTCATCTGGCAGATGTCTTTATTAGGCTATAGTTGTACAGTATTTTCTGTAAACTTTGTTGGAATCTGTAAAGATTTTATCACAAGCTATCACACCACATCAAGAGTGATGAATATTCATATCTCAGAGTGCTCTTATTCTAAATTCAAAGAATAAACTAAGAATAATATTTAACATCATATAAATGACTTGGTTAGCATACTATATATATATAAATGCATGTTAACAATTTAAAAGTTGTAATTTTCTAGAGTATAATCTTACCCAATTCACATAGCCCTCTTTTGTGACGTCTATGTTGTCGAAGAGTTCAGCATACTGAAAAGAAAAATTAAATGTGTCTATAGATATACTTCCCAAGTTTTTAAGAAAAATATCTGAAGAAATGGCAACAATTTGATGGTATATTCAAAGAAGAATTAGTAAGTTAAGTTTTCATTCAAGATACATCAGAATGATTTGCCATTCAGTGTGACATCATTTTTTAGTTTAGTATTGTCAGTCCGACGTTGGTCTCACAGAGATGCCAACTTTTGGAAAACATAAATAGGGAGGATTTGTAACGGACACCAAATAATGTGCGCGTAGCGCACATCTCGAGCGCGTAGCGCCCGACCCATGCGGCCGGGGTCCAGGGCCCGCCTTAGGGCCCTGGAAGCTCTGGGGTTCTAGATGCTCTCTGGTGCAATCTGAGCCTTATTTTGCAGCATTTTACATGTGTATTTAGTTCAATAATTCCCACTTTTTTTTAAAATAACATACAAATTGTACAAAATGCATGATGAATTCCTTTCATATATATGATACAGTGTTCGGTCTTATACTTCTGATACCATTTCTTGGTCTTCTTTAGCTGATTTTCCGCCATTTGGATTCTGTGTCAATATCCACGCATTGGTTACGGCGATCCATATGCTGAAACAATCTTTCGCTACTCTTAATTTGTCTTTTAATATAGTGGATTTACTACATGCTAAAGTTAACAGACGATATTTCTCATTCAATTCACAGATATATATACTGATAAGCGCCACAAAAAAAAAAAAAAAAAAAAAAAATTTATAATAAATCGGGAGGATAAGGATGGTGATCGTAAGGTCGGGAGTTGGGGTGAATTATCGGGAGCCTCCCGATGAAATCGGGAGGGTTGGCATCTCTGGTCTCATTGGCATTCATGACTAGGGCATTACTTTCAACTCACTTCATTCCTTGTGCCTTTGGTCATGATGTTATCCATCAGGTTACAAAACTCTTCCTTGGTGACTCCTTCCTTCTCTCCATATCTCTGAATAAAATGAATATAAGAACATGATAAAAATTCAATCTTCAATTGGCAACACACAAAGGAACATTGTACAGTGTCCTTACGGAGTTATAAAATGGATTAGGAAGGATGAAATTCGTATAAAGTATCTCATACTTCTGACAAAGAATAGCTCGTCTTTCTCGCTGATATTAAAAATGGGTTCACCATTCAGTAAGTTAAACATGGAATAATGTTTATTTTAGTACATGTATGAACGATGAAAAAAGACATAAGAATTTACAATTTGTCTCTCAATATTTTATTTGATATGCGTTGTTGTTTTTACTTGGTGGCACCATAAACGTAGAGAAGAAAAAAATTGTTTTGTTGAATGTTAGGCCTCTTCCAGTTAGAGTAAAACTAAAACTGTTTACCATGAATTCATCTTTGATTGCCTGTAGATCCTGTATGTTGAGTGTATTTTCAATCTTCACACCAAATGTGACTACTCCTGAGGCACTGGCAACAATGGAATCTGTTTTCCTAACAAAAACAAAAGAGGAACAAGAAGAAAAAAAATGGAAATAGAAGGAAATCATACGAAAAAATGGAATATCACAAAATCAAAAGTATCATGCACATTTATCTTTTATTCAATTTTCTTACTTCCTAATGAACATTAGATCTATTTCATAAAGGGGTTGTGTTAAAACATATACTTGAGTGCATGTAAAAATAAATAATTTTTTGTAGAAAAAAAGGACATTTATTTGTATACAGTATAGAGCAACTGAAGGAACTACTTTGATTGGTATGTCAAGGAATTGCCAATTTGTGATTGATCGATTACAAATTTACAAATAAATTTTCTGATTTTCACATTTTGCCTGATCTGCTTCTCCGATGTTTCCAAAACCATATTTATATCAGGGTGGACTTCGCCTTTAATGCTTCTTGTAACTGAGAACACTTATTTATGATTTAATAAAGAACTGTAGATGTAGGTGCGCCAAGGAAAATACATGTAAAATCTTAACCAAATTGTGTGTTGCATTGAATTGCATATTTATCAAGTTACACGAAAAACTAAATCTTTTTATTATCTAATTCTAACATCTAAATTTGTTGATATAGCAAGGAATTTCAATACTTACTCTTCCCTTATGCCTAGGCTTTTAATGCTTTTATTTTCTGGTGTGGACTCCATTTCTTTGTTTTCTGCCATGAAAGAAAAGAAAAAAATTACGAATTCACAAACACTATTATCAAGCATTCATGTTATTGTTATATATGCTCATTGAAAGTTTTATTGAAGATGTTCTGCCATCACAGTTCTTGGACTACATTTAAAGGGATTAAAATAAAATTCATACCTCTGTTTAGAGCCAGAAGGGCATTAACTCTGTGAAAATGACATCAGTTAATGCCTTCTGTCTCCAATGAGATAATATACAAGTTGACAAAAAAAAAAAAATTCTGAGCACACATACATACAATATGAAATATAAACATTGCAATTTCATTTAGAAAAATGCTACTTCAGCATTCAAAATGGTATGAAGTAATGGAATAGCTCAAGGAGATAAGAGTCAACAAATTATAAGTTTTACTTTAAAATCAATTCCATTAAAGATGTGACTTACTACATGTAGCTTCAAAAATCAGTTGTTTATGCTTCACTGATCTTCTTATCATATACCAACAGCTTAGAGAATTAAAAAAAATATATATATATTGTCTTTTGACGCTCTCCTGTAGGAGAGGAAATCGGTGAAGCCAGACTCAGTCAATCTAAGCGCAACATATCCCCGAACAAAATAGACTGTTGTTGTTGAGGTTTAGATGGCTCTCTTCAATTTTCTAAGATTATCTACGCCACAAACTTTCCATATTAATATCAAGTCAAGATGAGTCCTTATAATTTTTTGATTGCTGTGCTAGTTTGTTGTTTTCCTTCAGCATCAAATATCCAGTTCCAGTTGCGGGCGTGGGTTAATTTCTTCATTGTGCAAAGGGGTTCATGTACTACTACTAGTTAACTCATAATTAGCGATGCATTATTGTCCTCCCTTTTCACATTATATTTTTCTTTCTTTGTTTTATCTGTTTCTTTTCATTTTTTGTGTGCTTCTTGCTCTCCTCTCCTCTTTTTTGTTCTCCATTACTCAAAACTAATATTTTAGTCTACTTATATACTTACAACATGCAACAACCAGCTGCAATGAAGCTCAACTCAACCGACTCAACTCTCCACAACTGCACAGCGGTACCAGCTAGATCCGCCGCCCGACCACCACGGCTGAATGAATCCTCAAATCACGGCATTCTTCCCAAGGCTTCCTGATAAATAATCGATAAAATCTGCTTCACTAAAATCTATCTATCTACCAAAGAAAACAAACTGACTTAGATATATCCTTTCTCCTGTAATTCCCTCTAAATAAGTTCTTCACCAGAGCATAGTAAAGAGTGAGATTTTTAGCGAATTTACGAAGAATACTCCAAGTATTTTAAGTCAAATTGATTGTACACAGCTCAGTGCAGTCATTGTACTTCTTGAAGTGCATACACGATACGTACACAATGTACCACCAGTAAATCCCACCAAAATACACCTGTCGCTCAATAATGTACTTCTCGTTTCTACGGCTACGGCGTCTAGCCATCGATAGGTTGGTGGCGCTATGGCACTACGTCTTTCCTGTCGTTCGAAAGTTCGGGGAAGAGTGTCGGTTTCGTTCTCAAATGGCCCCAGTTCTTTTAAAAGCATATCATTTAGTTATTGAACATAACCAAATAAAGGTTGTGTGAAAGCTTACAATTCAACTTAATTCAAGCTTATGCTACTACCTGAAAACACAGCCACATGACAGTACAAGACGGACAAATAATACACATATAATTTACAGGAGAAAAATGAAGAAGAAAAAAAAAAATAGCAAAAACACGGACATAAACAATGGAAAATACAGTAAAAGGAGAGGAAAATAAATAATTAACAAAATATAATGACTCCAGATAATATTTAAAACATGTATACAAGAATGAGAGTAAAGAAAAATGGTCTGTACCGACAAAATAAGCAACAATTACATTTTCACTGAGCGGGGAAATTTATCATGTACCAGCACGTATACAGCTGTTAGTTTTTACTAAATTTGTAACATTTACCCCCCGAAAAATCATGACAGTTATATACAGTGGATGAAGTGATAGTATTACCCATAAACCAATGCAATGAATACGTATAGTATTACGATAAAGAATACACTATAGTGTAATTTTAAAAACCTAGAATACAAGTATATCTGAAAATGAGTATATGGCGGTAAGATAATTCTTAAAGGCCTAAATTCCCCTAATGACTTTCCGTTGAATAGGCTTAAACACAAATCAGATGGAAATATAGATCAACCTTTAGCTTTTTGCCTTCATTTATCTTATCAAAACATTTACAGAAGACAGGTTTGGAGTAGGCCTATATGGCGCAGTTGAAGATGTACTTTTTAAAAATGATGAATTGGGGACATGGCTGAAATACATAAAGGCTACCTTGTCAATATCTGTCACACTTTTTTGTAATAATAAATTTATCATCCAAATATATAGCTCGTTAGATATCAATTGTAGATAAACGTAATTAAAGATAAACTTGAGTTCTGGTAAAAAAAAAAGAAAATGAATTCTCACAGAATCAAACGAAACTTACACTGAATGTTCAAGATTACAAACAAATGTCATGTGCCAAACAATTTTGGAAGAAAATGTATACTGGCTGAGTAATGAGTATAGAAAGATAAGGAAAATCAGGGTAGTACTAGCCCCGACACCATGTGTGTTGTCCCATATACATCTTTATGTGTAAGTGATTGTTACTTTACCAAGACTGCCAAATTTATGATGATTTTGATGACTCCAGAACCTCGCATTACACACCATTACTTACATGCTATATGATCAACTTTTCTGATCCATTCCACACCTTTTCTTTCACAATGCAATCGCATTACCAGAACTCAAGTTTATCTTTAACCCTTTTGTTTTAGTAGGTCCACGGTCAAACTTAAAGCTTTTGCTTGACAGATGTTAGACAAATTGATCAAAATAAATTTATCAACATATCTATTCTTCCTATTTTTTCAAAGATTTTAGAGATATTTGTATATAAATTGTCGTGTACATTAATTCTTGACACTCTACATCTTCTGCCATCACCGAGTCCATAAGGGTACAAATGCCTTTGATAATAAAAAAAATAATGAGAGGCCTCTTTTTAGATCTCAGAAAAGAAAATATTGTCTTGATCACACAATTTTGTTAAACTAATCGGAATGTGGTTTTAGAGGAATTGCAGTAGAATGATTTTAAAGTATTTAAGTAATCGAAAGCAATGTGTTGTACTAACAAAAATGTGGATCACAGACAAAGGCTGTAAGATGTGGAATGCTTTAAGGCTCAAAATATGTTTAATGCCGAATCAAAGAAATTGATAAACTGGTTAATTATTGTTTATATTACGATAAACTAATGATCAATATTTAAAAAAAGAGTTTCTATGATCTTTAAAAAAAAATTAATGTTACTCAAATAAAAATTAAAGTTAAGGAATCTTTTATTGAACAAGTCATACATTTAACGTGTTTCGGCATCACAATTGATGATTCATTAACTTAAAAGGAATACGCTGGTGTCATCTGTTGGTGTATTGTATATAAAAAAAATTAAAAAAACAATTCCCCAAAGAAATAATGATGATTTCTATATAACACTTAAATCATTGTATTCATGGACATGCTCTAATAACAGACTTCTAATGTTACAGAAGAAAATTATACGAATGTTATCCTAAAGCCAGACTTGCCCATATTATGCTTCATTTACACAACCTTCACATTTTGAGAGTATACGATATCTATGTTTATCAGTGTGTAAATTGTATGTATTATGCTTTAAAAGACTTTCACCAAGTACTATTGTACATTATTTTCAACTTAATAAGACTTTTCATGGACACCAGGACTCCGTTGCATAAAACTTACCACTGATGGTAACTTTGCCATCAATGGTAAGTACATGGAAACCTTGATTTTGATTGGCTTTTGAGCCCTGTTTATATCATGGTAGTTACCATTGATGGCAAAGTTACCATCAATGGTATAGTTTTATGCAACGGGGCCCAGAGCAGGTATTCAAACAATTTTCATATTACTGGGGTATAAGGACATTAGTTTTCCAAAATTTGGAATGATATACCGATAGAAATTAGACTGAGCCCATCAATTAAAAGTTTTAAAAGAAAATTTAAATTGTATGTATTACAACAATACTCAAAATTAAGTGCAATAACCTATCAGTATAACAGATCAATATGTGTTGCTTGTGTGTATGGGAGAAAGTGTATGTCTGTAAGAGTGAATCATTTCATTTTTTTCTCTCTCTCTTTCTACTAAATAATTAATAATTTGAATATTGAACATAGTTATTTTGAAGTTATACCTGTAGACAAACTTTTTATATAAGGCCTGGCCTTCCTGTCTTGGTTTAAATACTTTCATTAATGTACATTTTTTATTTATTTTGGGGTCTTCTTGTCTTCCCCGCTTGTGTTATTCTCATGTTATATGTAAATTAAATTGTATATATTTTTTCATGTTTGTTTACCTATGTATATTTATTAAATAAAATGAAGTGAAGTGAACTAAACTGATATTCTTTGAAGTTTTGTCCGAGTCCGACCCCCTTTTTACAAAATACGTGTTCCATCCCTGAGTATTTAGAGAGCTCTGTTAAATATTATTTCTTGGCGAAGTCTATATAGAAAAAAGCCTGGGTTCCATCTTTGTTTATTGCTTACATCCTTGTAAAAATGTGTTTACTTTATACATTAACGGTGCTAATTATGACACAAATTCTTCTAAGAGACGAGGATGCTAGTGCCCTTTGGTAAGGCATTAATCCTCATTACCAATTCATTAAGAATGTAACAGATGTAATTGAAAAATAACGTTACCATATGGTGATCCATGGGAGCTAACAGTTATCCTGTTCCCAAATGAGTCTTCTATAATTATTGATGATAAAATGAGTAGCTGATTACATTTCTATAATTTCATAATTCAACATCTTGTTTGCCTAAAGTTAAATATAACTGGAGTGATTTTAGTAACTTCAGAGTCCCTGGGCTATGTGAATAATTTCAATAATGTATTATGAAGAACATGCATTATATTATTAATATTTTGCATCAAGTACACTATTTGTCGAATAATCAAAAAGAAAATCAACATGATCAACCGACCGTTTCGGTGTATCGACTACAATATGCAATAGCGCCATCTTGCTGTGTTTTTTTTTCGCTTGACGGTAATCCACTTTGCCGGGGTGATGTAAATGTTGCTCTTCCAAAATTACTTGATTTATGACGAACAGGTGAGATGCCGACGCGCATAATTCTACCTGACGTGTCAAGAATGGTTATAAAGTACGTTTGCAGAAATAGTCTGCAAATGTAGACACCTGGCACTATCAATTATAAATCGAATATGACAGAAAGGAGAGGGGGTGGGGGGGGGGATTGTGTAGTAATATATTCTTATTCACCGATAATCGCTCCAAAAAGGCACACGATTGAGCAAAAACCTAATAATTACTGAAGGAGAAAAGAAAAAACAAGCAAGTAGAAAATAGACAGACAAACAAACAAACATATGGACTGCTTCCGAGAAAGATTGAAACTGTCTGTCTTTCAGCTTGACCTGGGGCGTGGAGAGAAACTTGATTTACTTACAATAATTATTCACTTTGTCAAAATACAGATTCAAGCTATATTCATTACAATTAAACATCAGAAAATTTGAAGATTGAGTGTGTAACGAAGGATAATGAAATATAATGTTGTTTGGAACTGAATTCGACTGAATTCGGAAAATAGATATTAAAGACTCGTTAGCGGGAGGGGGGGGGGGCGTTTTGTTTTCTAGTCTTCATCGGTTCAACTTCACAGATATAACTCATTAGAGAAAATACACTTTAAATTGAACTAATAACATCTTCAGCATTATTATGCAATGTGAATATCTGAATATTATAGTCTATATAGTCTATAGTTCAGACAGCAAGTATGCCAGTAACAAAGGTTTGTGTTTGTAGACTAACTTATTCCACACTGCACGCACTCAACAACAAGGTTGATGAGTTTCAGGCATGGTCACTTTCAGACTTTATGAGAAAGACAGAAGGTCAGTCAAATGCCATGTTCCTCTTATGTTCCATATATTTTATTCTCCATCCTCAGTGGCGGATACAGATTACCCCCCCCCCCCCCCTTCACCTCGATCCTGTTTTATTTACTTTTTATATAATCATGAATTCAATTTTCAATTTTAAGTCCCCACCCCTCATAAATCACTCCTAGTTGCATCCCTTACTTAAATGGCGAAGGTACCCCCTTTTGTACAGCCCAATCTCATGAGATTGGGCTGTACAAAAGGGGGTACTGGTACTTACAAATTTGGTATAGATGAAATCTTCGATAATTTGTTCGCGTTAATCACAGTGCCATACGATTACCACC